CCCCCAGCTTGGACCTCTTCTTCCGCTGGCTCTTCGACACCCACTTTTTGGACGAGGCCGACATCAAGTTCCAGTGAGTACCGGGCTGCTCCCCGAGACACGGGGACCTGTGGGCAAGAGCCTGGCGCCATCCCCACTGTCCTCTCACCCTCCTTGTCCCCGGGGCAGGTGCGTTTTCCTCCCAGACAACGGCGCTTTCTTCGTCAACTACGTCGTCACCTCCAGCCTGATCGGGACGGCCATGGAGCTGCTGCGCATCCCCGGCCTCCTCGTCTACACCGCCCGCCTCTGCCTCGCCAAGTCCGAGCCCGAGCGGCTCCACATCAAGCGGGTGCGTGGCCATGGGCACCTCCAGGCACACACAGCTCCCGGGCACGGCAGGGACGCTCTGGGGAAGCTCAGGTTGTCCCGGTCCCATGGGAGGTTTGTGTGGTGAGCCACCACACGAGGTGTGCTGCTGGCCCTGGCCCTGCGGGGCTAAGCGGGGTGAGGCAACCCTGTGCTCCCGATGAGGCAAAGGCAGTAACGGCGCTGCTGGTTGTGCCTCAGAGCCAAGCCTACCAGTTCCAGTTTGGGTTGGAGTACGCCTGGACCTGCTGCATCTTCTCCGTCGTCATGACCTACAGCATCACCTGCCCCATCATTGTCCCCTTTGGTGAGTATGGCCCTGCTGTCCCCATCCGTGCTGAGAATGGCTTGTCCCGGCCTGCAGGAGCAATGTGGGGGCTTCCCATGGGAGGCACGGCCGCCAAACACCCCCTGTTCTCCCGCCAGGTTTGCTCTACATGCTGCTCAAGCACATGGTTGACCGGTACAACATCTACTACGTGTACATCCCCACCAAGCTGAACCAGCGCCTCCACGTCGCCGCCATCAGCCAGGTCGTGGTGGCCCCCATCCTCTGCATGTTCTGGCTGCTCTTCTTCTCTGTCCTGCGCCTCGGTAAGGAGAGCTCGGGGCTGTTCCCTTACGCTTCTCAGGGTCACCAGACTGAAGCTCTGGGGGACGAGCTTCACCCCTGAAGGGTGATGGTGTCACCCCTGAGTTAGGCACAGCTGAAGGACAGGAAGGTGGGGTGGGGAGGTGCAGCAGGTGCAGGGGTATCAGGTATTGTTTGGGGCTGTCAGAGCTCACAACACCCCCAGCACGCTCCAGCCTGGAGCTCAGCATGTCCTTGGAGGCTCACGTCCTCACCCTGTGTCTCTCTGCCCTAGGTCCCACCCGCCCTGTCACCCTCTTCACCTTTGTGGTCCTCCTCTCCTGCATCATCTTCTCCTTCTTTGGGCTCTGCCTGAAGAAGCTGCAGCCACGGAAACCATCCAGCTACCAGGTGAGCGTGGGCAGCCCTTCCCTCCTCCCGCCCTGTGCCCCTCACTCCCCTGGGGTGTGTTTGCAGTGAGGGATCTGGGGGTTTGGCTGCACCCGGATCAGACCAAGGGCTCAGGCACCCACACGGCAGCTCCCCATCCCTGGATGCACCAGCGCTGGGTGGTGCCGTGGTTAGGGATGCAGGCAGCATTCCTGGCCTGCTTGGTTAAATCCTGGTTTGGCTGGGATTGAGCCTGGTCCTGCTGCGGAGGGGCCCCTGCACGGTGTCCCCAAGCTGGAGCTGCCCCCGGCTTTCCCCTGGCCCCATGCTGCGGCTTCCTCCCCACCTCCCCTCCCCAGATGTCCGATCAGTCCGAGGGCGCCTTCAATGATGCCGAGCGGAGCAGCGTCTCCTCCACCCCCAACTCCAACGTGAGTACCCTCCCCAGCCCGACGCAGCTCCAGCTCACTCCCAGCCCGGGGGATGCGCCCCCTTGGGCCCAGCCCCTGGTCCCTGACCCCCCGCTGTCCCCCGGGGCAGCTCTTCGTGGCCACGGTCCTGCAGGAGCCTGAGCTGAGCCTGACGCCAGCAGCCTCCCCGGCACACCAGTCCTACGGCACCATGGGCAACCACCTGGAGCCGGCCGAGGATGGGGAGGACGGGGGCCTGCAGAGCTTCGAGACGGAGCTGGAGACGGTGGAGGGCGAGTACAGGACGGGCCCTGTGCTGGAGAGCCAGCCCCGCTACCAGTGAGCAGCCCCGCTGCCAGGCTGAGAGCCGAGAGCAGAGGATGTGCAGGGGGCAGGAGGGAGCCCGCCCGCGGCCCCCAGCTCCTCGCACCGCCCCTGCCGCCAGCACCGACGGGCGCCCACTTGGCTGACGGCCCCACGCACGGGTGATGCCGGACAGGGGGGCAGCAGGACTGATGCCAGGGGGGTCCCCAGCCCATTCATTGCGAGGCGGCGTGGCCCTGCAGTCCCAGAGCAGCTCGGCCGCCCCGTACCCCCCTGGCCCTGTCTGCCTCTTCCAGCCCAGGGTGGGGGAGAGGAGGTGCAGCCCCGTGGGGTGAGGTCTCCCGACAGACCTTACTGCAAGGAAAGGAGGGCGGCCCTGCCTGCAGCCGCATGTCCTCTCGGCCACGCCAAACCTTTGCTTGCCCACCCGCTGCTGCTGCTACCCATGACGGCTGTTTTGCTCCTTCCCGTGGCCCTGGGTGCTGGCTCCAGCCCCCAAAACCACCCCCAGGGCTTCACCGATCCAAGCGGGGGCTGCTGAGATGCTCGTGCTTTGGCCTGCGTGAGTGCACGGGGCTGGAGCAGCTCCTCCTGCTCCCACGCCTGCCTGAGCACTGTCTGCCCTTCCTGGGGGCAGCCTCAAAACGCACACCCCGCTCTCCCGTGGCGCCGAGCCCCCCATCCTGGCGGGGTTCACCCTGCCCTACGCCCTCCCTCTGCTGCTGCAACGTGTTTGTGCCCTCGGGTCTTCAGGGATGAGTGTGTTTCGTGGCCATGACAGCAGCTGCCTTTTGACGGTGGCTCCCATCCTCCTGCTCCTGCTGCCCGTGCTCCCCCTGGGACAGGCCATGGGGATCTGCACGGCTCCATCCCATTGCAACAAAGACAGGGGTGCTGGCAGCACCCAGGGGCAGTTTCTCCCCACTCTGCCGCTGTGATATGGGGCAGAGCTGGGGGAGAAAAGCTGGTGTGTGCCTGTGGGTGATGCGCAGGACCTCGCCTGGGATGTGGGAGAGCTGATTTGGGTCTTCCTCCTGCAAGGGGGACTCATGTTTGCATCGCAACACGGTGGGTGCCCTGTCCCCCACCCCTGCCCATCCCCAGGGGTGGCACAGGGGACACGTGTGCAGGGGACAGCACTGTGGGGACACCCCGTGCCACTTCCCCTGCCCAGCATTACAGAGGCTGTCGGGTGTGGGGGCAAGGTGTGCAAATCCTTGGGGGGGTTACAGGCAGCCCAGCAGTGAGCCATGGGTCTGAGCTCCCTGGACTGGCAGCCCCACCGACCCCTTGCCCCTGCATGCCCAGGCAGTGGCCGTGGCACCCAAAAAACCACCTGGCAGGCTCCTGGATCCCAGACATCCTCGCCACTGCTCGTCCCGGGGCTGCCCCGGATGGCAAGATGCTGGTGGCCCCGTCTGGCGGCTCGGTGGCCTCTCTCCGAGGGGCAGCAGGTACCGTGAGCAGCACCGTGTCCCGGGGAGCTCGGGCTCCGGCTGCCCTTGGCTGCCACGCTGTAGGAATGTGCCAGAGGTCTGTACCTTCTCGTTATTTATTGCTATGACCGTGCCTTGAATAAAATGACTTCACCCAGCCGCTGCCTGGTGTCGTCACCCCGTGCGTCCCGCCTGGTGATGGATGCGTTGGCATCCTCTGCTCAGCCAGAGAGGGGCTGGGGCTGTGGGGAGTAGTGGGTGCCCAGAGGAGCCGAATGGGCTGGGAGGGATTTTTGGAGGTAAAGGGGCAGGCACAGGGGCAGAGGAGCACCCCATGGTGTCACCTCAGAAGGGCACAGCCCTTGGCACTGGTCTCCTGCCCATCTTTCATCATTCCCCCACAGTGAGGGGCAGCTCGGGGCAACACCAGACAGCCCCAAAGCTGACCTGGCACAGGCTGCCCAGAGGAGCTGCGGGTGCCCCATCCCTGGAGGTGCTCAAGGCCAGGCTGGATGGGCCTGGGCAACCTGGCCTGCTGGGAGGTGTCCCTGCCCATGGCAGGGGAGTGGAACTGGGTGGGTTTTAAGGTCCCTCCCAACCCAAACCACTCTGTGCTTCTATGATCCTATGTCCTGCCTGCCAGCAAGCCCTGGGGAAGCAACAAAAGCCGTTTTGGGTGCTTTTCTCTAGGTTTCAGCAGACAGCGCTCTTCTGCTGCCCTCCTCCCTCCCAAAACATTCCGTACCCAAATTCCCCCTGGAACCATCCCCCTCTGGTTTCAGCAGCAGAGAAAAGAGCATTGCCCTGGCTTACAGCATGGGGTGGGAGACATCCTTTTGGGTGAAAACTGGAGAGCAAGGCAACACCCACACCACACACACACCCTGAGGGCAGTCAGCCTGGAATCAGCGGCAGACTGGGCCGCACCTGGCAGGAGGAGCCCTTGCTGTGAGCAGGGCCCTCATGCTGGGGGAGCTCATCCCAGCCGAACGAGGCCCTACAAACCCCGTTATCCTGTGCCTTCACTGCTCAGGCCCCGGAGACTTGATTTGAGCCATGGGAAGAGGGGGACAGGACAGGACTTCGTGCCCAGGCCTGTGCGGCCCTGCAGGCCGCCCATCGCCCTCGGGGCTGAGGCAGAGCGCAGCTGCCGCCTCCCAGAACAAAAGCAGCACAGCACAGAAGGGCTCTGAGGCTGGTTGGTTGCCTAAAGGTGTAATTCTGTAATTCCATCTGGGACTGTCAGACCTGGAAGGCAGACAGCGGGCAGCAGCAGGCCGCCTCTGCTGCCCATCCTGCGGGTCACGGCTCAGCCCTCCACCCCCCGTGCACAAAATCACCAAAAGACTTCCACTGCTGGGTGCCTGCTCCTGGCACAGCCCAGCTGGGCTACGTGAGCACTTCCAGCATCGCCAAGGCTATTGCTGACAAGAAACCAGCAAGCTCCCCCCATCATCCTTTATTATTTTTTTTTGCTTGCTCAGGCCTCTTATATTAAAATAAACATCAGGCAGCCAAAAGGGCAGAGGCTCACTGTTGTTCTTTATTAAACAGTACAGCTGGGTGTAAGAGGCACACGGACTAGTTTATTTCCCCTAGGCCTTACACAAAACATGGTACAGAGGAGGAGAAGTCAAGGAGCTGGGAAAGCTGGAGGAGGAGGGGATGGCTGGGTGCAGCGCCACGCACCCCATCCCTCACCCACCTGCCTACGGGGGGCCAGAAGGATCCTCCCTGCGATGCTGAGGGCTGCACAGGGGACGTCCCCTGTCCCTGCTGCCCCATATCAGGGCTTCCCCCGCAGCTTCTCCATCCCTGGCTCCTGGACCAGAGCGGGGAGGAAGCCAGGGCCCCAGCAGGTCCTTGCCCTGGGGGCAGTGACAGCTGGGAACACCGCTCGGCCAGTCCCACAGCAGCTCGCCCATAGAGGTGGCCTCTTCTCCAAGCACTCACGTTCAGCTCCCAGCAGAGCCGTCAGGCGCTGCCTCTCAGCTGCTTCCTTGGCTTTCTTCCAGCAGGTGCTTTATTCCTGCTCCTGCCCTAACACAGCTCCGCTGCACACAGTTAACGGGGCACCTGCTCCACCCCGAAGTGGCCGTGTCTCAAGTACGGCGGAGTTATTTCCGAAGGGCGAGGAAGCTCCGCAGATGGGCATTGTGTGCAGCTGGGAAGCACTCCAGGTCCCGACAGCATCAGCAGAGAAATTCCAGCTATGCTTCCTCTGGCCGAGAGCCAGAATCATTTCTGGAAGCCGTTGCCATGACATGATTGCAACCTTCATTTTTATTCTAAGGCATCGTTTCTTGTATTTACTTTATTCTCCTCAATACAAAGCATTAAATAGCCACCACTGCTGCTGCAATTCAGCGGGCTCTCAGGTTAAACCCAACCAGCCAAGCAGACAAAAATCCTTCCAGGCAGCAGCCCACACCCACTAGGAGCAGCCCTACCTTGGCATTAACGTGACCCCACTGCTCGAAACAGCCCCAGGACACACAGTAAGCCATGACCAACCTTACATAGGGAAAGACCCTGGGTGCCACGCAGGGGGAAGAGCACCAGGATGGACCCAGGAGCAACACCTGGGTGAGGAGAGTGGGTAAAAGCTCACCGCAGGGACTGGGGAGGATGGCAGCACTGCACGGCCAGCTCCTGCCTCTGCTGCCCAAGACGGCCGCAGCCACCCTGCCCCTGGAGCGAGCCGAGCCAGCCGCCACCTGCAGAGCTGAACCGGGCACAGCCGTGCACAAGAAGCGAGCGGTGACAGCCTCAGCAGGTCTCGAGCACAGCAAAGAGGATTTCAGGCAAGTGAGCCTCTGAGGACACCTCCCACTGTCATCTAACTAGGGTGGGCAGCGAGGGGAGAGGAGGGGAGGGGAGCCAGCTGAAGACCAGAGCACAGACACCAGCACTGGTGCTCCAGCTGGCCCCGAGGAGCCTGGGGCAGGGCAGAGGAGCTGTGCCGCGCCGCTTCCCCACTTCACTGCGGAGAAACACCCCACTGGCCACCAGCAAAGGCAGAGATGTGGTGTGTCAAAGCAAGGCAGGATTACCGAGAGAGACCTGAAGCACGCGTGGCTGGAGGAGATGGAGACGGGCTGGTGCACAGAGACAGACGGAGAGAGGCAGAGAGAGGGTGAGCGCCTGCCGGGCGCAGGGCTGCTGCGAGGCCAGCGGCGGGGAGGGCTGGCTGGGCTAGTCCCCCTCCGCGAGGGGCTCCCAGCCGCGCCGCATGGCTTTCACCACAGCACCGTAGAGTTTGGTCCAAGCCTCCCGCATGTCTGGGCTGAAGGCAGCGCCGAGGCATTTCTCCAGCATGTACAGCAAGGACTCGCCGACGGTCTGCAAACCAAACAGAGAGGCATCAAGCTTAGCAGCGGGGGAATAACAGGCAGCCCCTTCTCTTGCTCCACCACTGCTTAGGGCTTCTCCCATTGTGGGGTACCTGTGGAGGCAGCCAGCCCCATCCCTGGCTGTTCAGAGGAGCCCCAGAGGCAGCCTGGTTCCTGCTCAGGAGCTGACCCACACCATCCCCCTGCCCTGCCCTGCTCTCACCTCCCCACCAGCTCAGAGGGGAGCAGGGCTGATGCAGGGTGGGTGACACCAGTGGAGAGCTGCACGCCATCCTCCGTGCCTTCCCAACACCAGCAGCCAGCCCGGTCCCCTGGCACAGCAGAGGACCAGAAGAGCTGAGCCATGCCAGAGTGCCAGGAGACAGGGTGGGAGCCCCAACTGGAGGCTCAGGGCCTCCCTGCTCCTCATCCTGGGCTGTGTGGTGTCCTGTCCTGCCTTGCCTGGGCTGGCCGGTGTCACCACCCGGAGCAAGGTGGGTTTATGTCTGGAAACATGGAGGGGCTGAGGTTCAGCATTCCCTAAGTGTTTCCCTGGGAAACGCCTTGCTCCCCTCTGTCCTCACTCCCTGGGCAGGAAACGAGGGGAGCTCGAGGGCTTTTCTGACCAAGCCAACATCACTGCACAGCTTGGGGCTGCACTGAGCCTCCGGCTTTTTCTCCAGCCAGCTGAACCCAGCAGGTGGGCACAGGAGGGTGGGGACAGCCGAGGGCTGCAGGCAGCGCTGCACAAACACAGGCACAGTGGGATGGAAGGAAATGCCTCACCGAGAAAGACTCGACCTTCACGCCGATTGCCTGATGCTTCTTGCCGAGGTTGCAGAGATATTCTTCCAGGCAGGGCAAGTTTTCCAGGTGGCTCACGGCCGCATCAATCACCAGCATCACCTACAGGAGCACAGAGGCAGAAGGGCACTAACAAGGCTCTGCTGCCCTTCTGGAGGAAGGGGCTGACCCCTCGGCTTCACCCTTCTGAGCCTGACGGCCACCACCACCTCCCAGCACTGCAGGTACCCCCCGAGCTTTCCTTTGCTCTGCTGCAACCTGTGTGCCACCACCGATGGCAGCACACCCCACATCCTTCTGCAGGACACTGCCAGAGGTGCTACAGCAAGCAGCACTACTGGCCTCCCTGCCCCAGAGGAGGGAGGAGAGCCCCGCAGCAGAGCAGTTATGGGCCAAGATCTAATACTGACATGGTCTTAGGAGCCCAGGACAGCTGCAGGGGAGCCCTGGAATTGCCAGGACTAGAGTTGCCTGCCAGAAGTTACCAAGATCTAAGGTTAGCCAAGGTATTCTGAGGTGAGGGGATGGCTAGCACAGCCAAAAGACCTGGTCTGGCAGAGCACGTACCACGGTGGTCTGTGAGGTGCAAGAAGAGCCAAATGGAGACAAGACAGAGAAGGGTTAACGAGGGATGAAGGAGCAGACAGACCAAATTGGAAGAAGAGATTAAAGCCAGGGCACGGTTGGCTTGGCAAAGCCAAGAAGTGATAGAATTGTGCTCCGCAATTTTAACAGGGAAATTATCTCCAACAAGAGCAAAGAGCTATTTCAGCTTAAGGCAGTAATAGCAGAAGTAAAAATGGACACAACTTGTCCAATAATCAGGGGCTGGAAAATAGCAAAAAGCTTGCAGCTATCAGAGGAGAGCAGTCCTGAAGCAGCCTCTCACAAGGAGCAAGGCAGGCACGCGAGGCACTGCGCTGGTTTAAAGATGGAGGCTATGAAAACCAGCCTGAAGATGGAGGTTACGGGGTTACGAAGGCATCTGCAAGCCACAGCTGTGCTCTTTCTCTGCCTGGCTGCTCCTCAGGGCTCGGAGGGCTCCTGCTGTGCTGGGTCTGGCTCCCTCTGTGCACGAGCTCCCGCAAGGCGACATCGGCATCGCTCCTCTCCCAGTTCTGGGGGGAGAGGAGACTGCTGTGTGCTCCCAGCCCAGCCCCAAACCCCAAACCCTGCCCGGAGGCTTCCTCCTGCCCTGCTCTCACCTTCCTAACGTGATCCAGGAACTCGGGGGCGGACAGGCACTCCTGGGGGCTGGCAAACTGCTTGCAGTTGTACTGGAAAAGGGGCAACAGGTCAGGGTCCAGATCAAACAACCTGCAACAGCGAGAGAGAAGCCCCCATCTCCTCATGTCCTTAACGTGGTGCAGAGCCCCGCTCGCCCCACCAGCAGCGCCCCGATGCCCCCTTTCCTCCTGCTGCTCCCTCCCCACCTGTGAAGGACGTGGAAGTCCCAGAGACTTAGCCTGAGGAAATGCAGGTTAGCTGCTGGCAAAAGGGGTTCCCCTTTCCCTTTCCCTAGGTCCCAGCTCTCAGACCTGTGGCTCTGGCACCTGTGGATCCAGTCCAGCCCAGCCCCGCTCCCCCAAATCCTGCTCGGTGCCTTCCCCTTCCCACTCCACGACCCCCTTGAGCCCCAAAGCTGCCCAAACCGGGGGATGCCCCGGTGCTGAGGGGAGCCCGGGTACTCCAGCAGCCTCCCCTCTGCCTGGGGACCCTCTCCATGAGGGGATCCCACACACCGCATCACCAGGTTTTGCTCTGGCCCCCGCTCCCCTTTCCTTCCACCAACTCTCCGCCGGGCTTTCGGGGCGACTTCTCACAGGTTTTTCCCCACAGCCGAGGCACTGATCTCGGGCGAGGGGCTCACCCACACTGCGCGTCCTCTGACCGGGGGTGGGGGGCACCGGGGCGACCACCGCCACCGCCACCTGCCCGGGGGTGACGGGGGACCCCGTCCCGTCTCTTGGCCGCCCCCCACTCTTAATCGCTCACCTGGAGAAGAGGACGAGGCCGTGCTGCACCGGGCTGCCGCTCAGCCGCCGCCAGCTCTCCCGGATCAGCGCCCGCTGCGCGCCTGACAGCATCCCGCTCGCCATGGCGGGGGCGGGGAAGGGCCCGCCGCGGGGGGCTGCCCCTTTCCGCCCGCCCCTCGCTCCGCCGCCACCTCCCCACCGCCCCCTGCACCTCGGGTCCCCCCCACCCCGCCACCGTCCCCACGGAGCCCCCCGGTTCGCACCTCACGGGCAGGGTAAGGGGAGGATAAAAGGAGCGACCCCGGACCCCCCTGAGGAGAATTGGGGCTGGGGGCGCTGCTCCCGCCCTCACCCCCTGCCTCCTCTGGGAGAGGGGGGACTGAGGCAGCCGGACAGGCAATGCTGCTAAGGAGAGAAGGCAGCTCAGCTCTGTCACACAGCTCCCAGACACCCAACTTCTTCCCTCTGATGCTCAGAGGGAAATGTGGCGTTTAATTTGGCCCAGGGCTGGAGGCAGCGCAAAGGAAACTTAACAGCGGGCAGCCAGGGGCTGAAGTGGCACACCAGAAAGCAGAGCAGCACAGCAGAAAGCAGGCAGCCAGAGCAGTCATGCAAGCTGGGGGTAGCAGAAGGATGAAGGCAAGATGAGAGTGCAAATGGCACCAAAACCAGCAGCCAGCTCTGGAGTAACGATGGTGCTGATCGCATTACAAGTGTACTCCTACCCGTCAGGCTTAGTTCTTGTCATTAGGAGAGAAGACGGCAGCCTGGGACCAGAACAGGAGCATGTTGACTCAGTGGGTGCAGAAAGGAGGCTCTTCCACTCAAGACTACTGAAATCCAGCCCCAGAAGGAGGCAGGTTCAATGGCACAATACAACATCCTCTGCCCCAGCCACATCTCCACTCACCGGGGGTCTTTCTCCAAAAGACCCAGAGCTAGAGCTCTCTACCTAAATCCAGGCTCTTGAAGAGTCCCACGGACTCAAAGAAATTGAGCCATTAGATGGAACTATGGAGTCCCACAGATACTTCCAGATCTCTGGATACTGAGCCAGAGGAAAATGTGGTTCCAGGTTTTCTGTGCTTTGAATGTCATTGCTAGAAAATACTTCATTGATGCCAAAAGTCTCAGGTCCCAGTAAGACACACATGCAAGAATCGTTTTCTTTGTTAAAACTGCAGCATTTTATCTTTCACGATCACTAAGAAATGCCTGAAAAACATGACCTCTACACCTCTAAATTTTTGTAAAATGAAGACTAAATAAGGACCATGCAACACTGAGGAAAAGCCACAACTTATCACAGCTGGGCTTCTGGAGCACACAAAGCGACAACCCTCAGTGCTTCCCGCTGCTGGCACCATCTTCTGGTCTCCAAGTTAATGTTAAGAGCCGTGTCTTGGCCATCTGGTTGCAAAGGGAACACGGCCCAGTAATAAATCACTGCAACTGCTGGAGCTGCAAGGAGCCTGAAAGAGCAGCTAGGACAGAAGCAGGAACACCAGGTTAATCTGAGCAGAGCAGCGAACACGAGCACAGCAGTGGCAACGCAAACATGAACCTTTAGCTATCCTGCTGCTGATGGAGCACACCAGCAAGAAGCACGAAGCATCATCCCATCTGGAAGGATGTGTGTGCAGTCAGAGCACAGCCTAGGCTGAGTATCTGCCTAGCACCATTTTGGGTACAGTCAGAGCTGGGTGACAAGAGAGAAAGAGAAGCACCCAAGAAACAGGCTGGTGTAGTTAAGAGTGACCAGCTCCTGAATGCAAGCAGCATGGATACAGAGGGTGCAAGGGCAGGAGGGGAAGATGGCTGGAACAAGGAGCCAGTGCAGTGAGGCTCCCTGTGGTCTGGCTGGGATACAGGACACCTTTCCTCAGCTCTGTGCAGGCACCACACCAGCTGCCATGCCAAAAGTAACAAGGAAATGCAGGCCAAGCTGCTCATCCTAGTGGAAAGGACATCCCGAGCAGCAGCACTGAAGCCACGATGGCAATAGAAAATGGTGGCTCGCCTCCAGCTTCCCCTCCGTGCCACAGATGGTGGCTGCAGGCCGAGCCCTCGCTGTGGGTGCAGACGGGACCACAGCAGCAGCGACACAGCGACACCCACTGAGTCTTCTCCTGTGGAAGATGTGGGGCACAGGCAGGGAGGTGGTGATACCCTGCCTGCCTGTGGGCACCCAAAGCACACTCCGGTACTAAACCCAGCAGAGGCTGAGAACCAAAAGGAATTCCTTCCTTCCCACCACCACACCAGCTCCTTCTGGGCAGGATGCGGGCACATCCAGGGGCAGGGAAATGCCACAGAGAAGCCATTCCCCTGAGGCCTATCCCACTGCTAAGGGGGCTCTCAAGAGCATTTTTTCCCCTAAAACAGCCTATGTCTTCCAGCACAGGAGGAAGGAGCTGTAAGGAGGGATCTGAGGTGGGAGACAGGAAGAATTCAAGGGTGAGAAACACCCAGAAGCCATGGCTTAAAAACATGACTTAAAAGCAAGGGCTCAGGACTGGGGAGGCACGGTGCTTCTCCTTGTGTGCAGAGGAGCCGTGTGGCTGTCAGGGGAGCTCCTCCTGCTGCCACAGCACTGAGCTGCTGACAGGACGAGTGGCGTCCAGGGAGAATCTGAGGTACAAGAAAGAGCAAACAACCAACCTCCCCCTGGTTCAAGTATTTAGTGAGCCTTCAGGCATACAGAAGCCCAGGGATGCATCAGGAGGTTGAGCACTGCAAACATTTCCACAGCCTCTGGGTTTCCTGCCATGGCTGATCCCCAGCTCCCTTGGCTCCATGCACCTCAGCTCTTTTCTGAAATGTCCTTGGATTTCTACAAGACTTTCCTCAAAGCTGTCATGAGTGAAGAGCCACCAGGGCAGCAGCACAGGCTGCTCCAAAATCATCACTAGGCCAATTGAAGAAAGGGGAGGCAGATTTCCAGTGAAACACTCAGGCCTCCAATAAAGCCCTAGTGTGCTTCAGAAACCACACGCATATGTTTTAAATTTGTGGTGGATCTCATTAATCTAATCTACACAGTCACAACTTCCCTTGCCAAGTGCTTTACTTGTTCAGTGCCTCAGTTTACCCATAGGGAAAGAAATTTCCAAGTCTCATAAAATGGTTCAACAGGATAGGGAATAAGCTCCAAGCACCAGCCCCCAGCCCTGCCCTCATGGCCCAGGGCACCTGGAGAACAAAGCTCCCTGCCCAGGGAGGCCACCCGGGCCTGGCCTAGGGGTTATGGCTGTGCGTGTGCTGCCGTGACACTGTCAGATTTTGTTCAGCTGCTGTTTGAACACAACCAAATCCCCCCTTTGGACTTCTGCTCATTTCCAATTCTACATCCGTGAGTCCTCATGAATAATGCCCCTCTGATCTAGTTGCTTCAGGCTCCCTGCTCGCCTTGGAGCCAGATTCCTGGGCTTGACTAACGCCCCCTTTCCACGCTTCTCCTCCACCACAAAAGCACAGGCCACGATGTCTCTTCCTTGCCCCAGCCCCCCTGTCCTCACCCTCAGGTGGGAGCAGGAGCCATGCCATGTTTCCAGCAGTCTTCTGAAGCTACCCCCTCAGGCCACGACGCGGCACAGCTCAGTGGCAAAGCACATCACAAAATGCTGTTGCATAACAAGAAGCAAAAGAGATGCAGGAGGGAATAATCTTACCCATAAAACGATTAAGGCAACAGCTGCAGAGCTTGCTGCCTGCCACGGTGCCTGCAGGGAGAGCAGGGCAGCACCACCGACCTTGAAGATGTGGGCTAAGGGGGGAGGAGGCACAGTGTATGGGAGAGAATTCAAAAGCAGAACAAAATGAAAATGTGTTTTTTTGATGTCCCTTTGGTGGTAAGCATCCACAGGTTCATCCTAGGCCTCCCAGGGCCCAGATGGGGAAAATTTTGTGCAGACAGGTGAAAACAAACCACAGGCTGACAAGGCAAGAAGCTGGGAGAGAATCCAAAGGAGACCACACATTGCTGCCAGCCTGAGTCTTCCTGCCTGTAGAGGAGAGAGGATGCCAGACCAGGTCTGGCAGCTACAGATGCATGGACCTTACCTTGGTTGTTATTCACGTTGTGCTCTCTTTAGCACAGTTGCTACCCGCACCACCAGGCCAGAAGCAGCCTCTGCCAGCATGCCCGGCCCCTCAGCAAGCAGTGTCAGCATGGTTACCTGGCTCCCGCAGGCTTGGAGCTTCCCCCAGCTGTCCTTACACTGGCTTGGATCATCTTCAGCTGCTGACACATCATGGCAAAAGCCTGGTGGGAGGATGCTTTATCCTCCCAAGAGGCTTCCTCTGAAGTTCCCCCACTGGTCTTGCCTCGTATCAGAAGCGCTGTTGGTACCAGTCTCTGAAATGCTCATTGATTGCCTTTCCTCTGATCTCAACTCCGTTCTTTCCTTCCTTCTTGCAATCCAAATGGATACTATTGACCAGGGCCTCTCCTTCAATCATTTGCCCTACAGCAGTTTTCTCTTAGAGCAGCGCCTTTGCTGTGATTTATTAAAACAGACATTTTGCCTTTAATTGCATCCCTTCCTTCACAGCAAGGCTGTGCTAGCATCACCACCTTTCAGCTCTGCACTCTGCCATCTGCTTTCAAAGCAAACCCCGTGTGTTATTCCTGCTACATGTACAATCCTTTTCTTGAGGAGGCTTCAGGCCTTCCCTTCACCTATCTGAGCCATCCCAGTTTCGTGTCCCTCTCAAAAATATTCCCCCAGTTCAGCAAGAAATCCTGCTGAACAGTTTTGTTGATCCCCAGTAAGAATGTGTTGTGTTGAATAAACATTTTGGCTGTCTTGAAGAGATTGACATACTTATGCCACATGATAAAGCACTTTCCAATCCATTAGTAACTAAATAGGATATTAAACAGCAACCATTAGCAAAGACTCGAAATCAGCAGGCACAGATAGCTTGCACCCATGAGTCCCACAAGAGCTGCCTGAGGATATCTCCAACCTACTTACATTGTTGTTGTTTTTTTTTTTTTTTTAATAATCCTTGGAATAAACAGAAACTTCAGGAGACCAAGTATAAAAATGCACTCATGCTTAAAAAGGCCAAACGGGATGATTAAGTAAGGAAGAAACCAACGAGCCTAACAAAAAACAGTGCAGACAATAAGAAAGCCAGGAGGACGTTTATAATAAAAGCATTTGAAGATGGGTGTGCAACTTCTCAGTATCTGTTAATCTGTACCTTTCCCTCTCTGCCAAATAGTGGTCTAATTCTTGATCCATCTCATACCACTGATGTCCTCCTGACAGTTCTTTGCTATCTTTGATATTCCTCATTGTGTCCATTGTGTCCTCCTTTTGTGAAGCTGCCTATTTTCTTTCCCCCTCCACAGGGCTCTTTCACAGCAGCCCTTAGTAACCCAACAGTTGTCACTTCATCTGCTTCTCTCTTGCATTTGGAATCAATTAAGAATTTGCTACTTAACTTTTGATCTTTGGCTTCTTTGGCTCTTCCTGACCTTGTTTTGCAAGTGGACAGTCTGTGCTTGTGCTCTTGTTATCCTTATTCTAAATCTCTCATCAGACTTGCTTCCCATGGGATTTTGCCTGGAAGTCATCAAATTGTTTAAATTCACTTTCTTCAGCTGTACTAGCTTTTTTGGGTTGCTACCACATAGTTCGTAAGTTTTACTAAGGGACCATTTCATGTACCTTCATGTTCTATCTCAACCATCTCCTCCCCATTTGTCAGCTAGTGTCCTTCTCTACCTTGTAACCAAACAATTATTGTCCCCAAAGTATTTTAAGGGATCAGCACAGCCAGGGCAGGACTCAGCTGGCCCAACACAGACACGTTCATCTAGGCAAGGAACAAACTCCCTTTCTGGTCAATGGAGCAATAAGGGTACTCCAGAACTACTTCATCCAAAACTCAACAGTGAGTAAGAGTTGGATGAATGAAGCTCAAGCTTTATCAACTGCAAGGACATCAGCTGCAAGACAAGAGGATGACGAGCTTTGGATGAAATCTGGAGATAAAAGAATGACTGCAGGAACAGTAAATATAGCAAACATTTTCCAGTAATCGTAATGCTTGGTAGGCTATGCACATTCAGGTAAAAGCACAAACTTTCTGTTTCCAGATCATGCATTACGTGGGACAGAACTACAGTTTAGAGATGGTAGATTAGAAAACAACTCCAAAGTCTAAGACAATCACATGTAAACCAGGAAGTAGTGGTAGGAGCAATGAAAATTTATATGGAACTGGGGAGACTGATGTTGGAAGACAGCATGCGGTTTGGGAAACCTTGGGGGTAAACTGAAGAATATGAAAAAAGAGGCACAGAAATCAGAGGGACAGAGAATGCAAGTTTGAAATCTGCAGTAAAAGTTTCTATATTTGGTTAGCAAAAAGATTAAGCAGCAGCTTGAAGACAGAGCACAGAATCTATATGAAGAGAAAATACCAAGTTATATAAGAAAACCCTCATTCCTGTTGAGTAACATGAAATGGAAAATGGCTGTAATTTAGAGACACAGAAACCTGGCAGATTCAGAACAAGATGTAATGAAAACCACGTATGGGGCATTATGCAAATGGCAATCATCACCTCCATGAGCTCAGTCACCTGAAGAAAGAAACCATTGTTTTAGAGGGCAGTGAGAAGTTTTATTTCAGCTGTAATCAGCATACTCTGAACAGTATTTCATTCCTCTTCCTTCCAGTCATCTCCCTACACTCTAGAACAGCTTCTGCACCAGCAGTTCTTCCTTCCAGGATAATAGCCCGAATCAGGCAATACCCAGAGACCAAATTACACTTTCTGAAACAGTACAAAACATCCAAGGGCTTTCCAGTAGCCATCTGTCAGCCTATTTTATCACCTTGTGCAGGTCATACTCCAGTTTCCAGCTGTCCTGACTTTACTTCAACAGCCCTTGGACCATGTCTAAACAGACTGGCTGGCTCTCCTCCAGCAATGATTTAGGCATCAGTGTGTAGCCACAAATAAGGCGGCTGTATTTTTTCCACCTTCTGCTTTTACGTTAGTAATGGCAACCCCTTACTATCCTGTACTTAAAAGTAAACACTTCCCTGTCACTACAGCCTGGCGTACAGCCTGCCTCAGATTTACAACATTCCAGTTTTATTATGTTCTTACATTGTTTTATTAGATTTCTGCATTTAGTTCACAGCAAGGGCCTCATTTGTACAAAACTGTCATCAGTCTGATGTTACGGACACTACACACTCTAAGAATGACTCATAGAAAAATGTTGGTTCCTTGAAAAAATTACTCGATCTGTCAAGTTAAATGTCTAAAGGCAACCTACCAGAAGTCTGATGAATACACCCATTAAACAGGACGCATTACACATACTTACAATTTAACAGTTTTACCATAGAGAAATAAATCCATGTCAACAGACAGCACTTCATCTTCAGCCAAATGTACCAGCTTCGCTTCCTGCTGTGCTCATCAGCACATCGCTTGGACTGCAGCAAGGCCCGACCTCCGGGAACTGCAGTCCAGCAACATTTGCATGCTAAAAGCTGATGCTGGCACTGACTTCTGGTTTGTAGATCACTGCTGCCCTTAAGTCAGATTCACCATTGGAGAACTTCAGTTGTGCATGCGAGGAAAAGACTGGGATGGGGGAGCTGGAACAAGATATAGCCCCAAAGAGAATGCTAGAAAGAATAGGCATTTAGAGGTATTTATTACAAATTTGAATTCAAAATTCTACCACATTCTCCATGATTCCCTGTACAAAATACATTTATAGCTCAAGGGACGCTTTTCCCTTCCACATCGTATAGTGCAGTAATCCCACTTCTAGAACATGGTTCGTGGACAGATGGACACATGCACACGCACACACCAGCAGCATTAGTAAGAAAGGCTCAGATTATAGGACAGCTACAAATGAGCCCCTCTCGCCGCTACTCCAAGCTCTTGGTCCGTCAGGGACAAGTTCTCCAGGATGGCTCTGAACAGTTCCTCTTGTAAAACAATAAACTCATTCGCTGAGGTTTTAGGACCAAACACAAATTCAGCAGGAGGGGTTTCTGAGCTAGTACCTCCCCTACCACAGCTGTCACCTGTGACAATCATGGCCCTTGACATTCAAAGAGAAGAGCACAAGTGAATTAAGAAGTTAAGCAACTCACAACCAGCCATGCAACTCAGGTCTTAGTGCCTTAAAACAGACAATTTTCAGTCCTGGCTGCTTGCAGCCCACAGCACCATGAAGACAGCAAATATGCGATGGAGGTGGTCTTATCCTCATCTTCCCTTTTCCAGATGGAAAGAGCCTTATGATATTCTAACAGTCCACACGTTTCTACCTTCATAGCAGTCACATAGCAGTTAGATGAGGGGGAAGGTCACTTCACCACCCAAGGAGTGGTCACTTGCTGTAAAGGGGAAAAAAAATCTTACCTACATTCCTCAGCTGGTGGAGATGCAAGGCCAGAGCCAAGGAGATTTTCACATTGCTGCAGCATCTTGAGAGGAGGAAAGGGTGTTACAGCGGCACTTGTGCAGTGTGCCAACTCAGACTAAATCATGCAGGCATGGCCTCTGGAAGGGAAACATCTAAGTGCAACAATGGGGAATTTCAGGCAAATGCCTGTGTTTTCATGTTGACAGCTGGTTCACTCTCAAGTCCCTTGATAACGATTCTCAGATGTATACAGACAGTTGGCAGAAAAATCCTACCCTATGAAACATTTCTTTACCTTTCCATAATTTGGTTCTGGTTTTACTCTCACTGCAAGTGATAGGTTCACTCAGGATACTGTGTGGTGTTCTGTCCTACCCCTTGTTCTGACTCCCCTATGAAATGGACGCACAGCCTAAAAAGTTGGAGGAAAACCAATGACATGTCCTGGACTGTGGGAAGCACTTGAAAAAGCAGAAGGGAGGAGAGAGATATAAAGAGGTAGAACCTATCGATGCTCTCTGTGCACCACCAAGGCCACCCAATCGATACAAAAAGAAAACTGCAGAGGAGAGTGGTGCTGGCTGTCCTATTCACAGGACTGCAAACCAGACTGGTAAGCCATGCATGGCACACAATCCTCCACCTGGACCAAGGGTAATACTGATAAAGGAATCTCCACTCAAATCCTCATCATGGTCACAAGTCTGAGTGTGTGTAGTCCACCTCGTGGACACACACCAGTCCCTGCTGCTGGAATACATGTGTGCAGAGGTGTTCTGACGCAGCTGTTAACACATTTTTTAAGATGAATGGCTTGTCTAGGAGAAGCCAGATGAGCCTAGAGACCATCTATCTATCCTCCAAAGACTAAAGAGGTGAAAATATTTGCACACGCAGACCAAAAAAAAAAACAAACAGGGAACCTGGAGGCCTGCAGCTTTTTGTGTTCTGAATCTATACACACAGTTTGATCAAACACTTCACTAGTGATAAAAGGAGCCCTGTCAAACAAACTTCAAAGCAAGCAGCTGCTCCAGGGAGCAGCACCTTCTGGCACCTTCTGAAAAGCACCACTAGCTATTTTCCACGTGGCTTGGGAAGAGGACTAATAAGCAACCCTCAGGATGAACCTGAACACAAACACGTACAGAAAAGCTGAACTAAAGCAGCCCAACTTCCATTCAGAATGCAAAGAGTGCCCTGTACCCATTACCTCACGCCTCCACCACTGAGACCTTCTATATCAGAGTCAATTAAAGGAATCCCATTCCATTTTAATGACCTAGCAAGATACTGGTTACTATTCTGTTCCAGACATGGCCTGACAAGTTGGTTTTGTTTGTATGTTTGCTTTTGAGAAGCAAATATTGAGAATCAAATACTATTTTTTTCCATTGCTCTTCTACTGTAAGCAAGCAGCAATATTCACTTACACTGACTTGAAAACCCAATCCTTGGAGTCCAGTGATTGCAGGTGAAATGCGTGCATTTTTTTTAATGCCTAGTCTTCAAATGTAGACCTTTTAATACTATTAACTACAGATTAAAAAAAAAAAAAAAAGATTCAGCTGGAGGTTGCTCCCTCTTGTGGAATATTTGGATTATTTTTTTCCACTGTATGACACCATCCAATTACCAGCACACAAGACCTGAGAAATAGGATAGTCTCAATGCCAATCAAACGCTCTCGGAGGATTTCTGAACTGGCAATCCTAAAGGAAAAAATAAACACCTTTGTCTATACGGAAACAGAAGCAGGGGAGATGGGAGTAAGACAACTATCGCCTTCAGCCAGCTAACCCCCAGACTCGGAAGCATTGTGTTACTGCATAACACAAGTTTCTTGTTTTTTATTTTTATTTTTTTGCCATTAGTGTTAAAGACAAGTTAAAGGCTGGAAAAAAAATACACTTCAAATCACAGCTTTTGTCAGTTTTTGTGGAAATTCCTCTCCATGGCAATGGGACTATTGTAAGAAAACTCTGGATCAGGATAGCAAGGCATTGGGCTGATCATCTCACCAAAGCAGATGCTGAATCACATTGCCACAGAGGCAGCACTGCAGTCTGTCTGCCATGCTGCCAGCAGTTAACGATTCGCAGCTCCTGTCACAGAGCTGGATCTGAAGAACTTTGCAGCCTTCTCCCCCGTCCTTCCTTCGTAGATATCACACCTTTGTGAACCCCTGGCTCATGCAGGTGGGGGCACTTCCTGCAACAGCCAAGTGGAAGAGAATCATCAAACCCAGTAGCTAATTAGTGCAATGACTTCCCACTAAGAATTATCAGCAGGTAATTAACTCAAAACCTTTAGAATCAAAAGCACACACCTCTACCTTCTGAGTTAGTTTCTATAAGAGTCAGCTTCTGGGGAGAGACGTGACACTCCACGCCAGAACCTTACAATAGCAAGCAGCTGCCTTACTGAACAATCCTATAACTCCTCTATTAAAAAGGAATGAAAGCCAGTCTGATGGAGTCAGTCCCCCATGGAGAACAACTATCTTGGGGATGTTAATGCAGCCCTTCTGTGCTGTAGGAGTTACATCAGAATTCAAGGTTTGATAGGAGAAATGAATGCACATTTAAACACAGACACACACACGCTGCACTTCCAGTACCCACAATTTTGATGCATGGCTAAAAAGCAGAGCAAGAAATCTGAAATGTTAGGCTTGAGTTCCTTGAAACAAACAAAAGTTTTGCAAATATTAGTTCTTGAGACAGGAACACAGCTGGGGTCTGAGTAGCAACCATGAAATGTGACAAGAAATTGAAACTGAGCAAAGCATAGATGGACTAAAAGGAATAATTCACAAAAGCAGACCTAATAGAGGAGAAAGGCACCTCATATTCCACTTTCTTGGAAGGGGTGGATTCAACATTCAAGAGCTGTTGACATTTAAAGAATTTTTGCCTGGCCTCACATTTCCTTCAATGCAGTAATTAATTAGCTGGACAGCCATCTATGAGAGGGAACTTGCTCAGTATTGGAATATGGAGTGCAGATACCAACGGCCAGTTCTGTAGCTGCCACATTCATTAAGATGAATCCTTTTTCCTAAATGCCATAGGTACTGGCACTGGAATAGCTTGGATCAGAAGACAAATGATAGCTGTCTAAAATTTTCAAGCTATCATTTCAGTCACAATCACACACCCAAAATGCCCATCTTCACAGTGTACTGGGGCAGAAAATAAATCACCTGCTGTTTCCACTGTAATTTCCTTAGCAGTTTCAGAAAGAACTGCAAAACAGCTACAAAGTGCTGAGCTGGAACAGTCTGGCTCTGAGCGCAGGCCTGATAGGTGATTGCTCTAAATGATTAAAGGTGACCAGAAAGCAAGGCAGTATAAAAGGGTAAACAATCTCCATCTCCCCTGTCAGCAGAGCGCCTGGGAGACAGACAAGGCACAGTGGCTCAGGAGATTTCAAGCAGACCCCTTTCAGTCCCATTATAAAAATTCAGGGTCAGAACAAAAAAATTCCAACAGCCAGGGCTGAGCAGTACGGAGATCCCCACAGGCTTACTTGAAGCTTTAGGGAGAAACACCTTCCTGTCAAAAAGGTCATTAAATATGGTTTAAATCCCAATGCCTTGGACACTATCTGGCTCTCAAACTGGAGTGGTACTTACATTGCATGTAGGAAGACAGACACACACACACGTGAACATGCAACTGCACACAGTCCAGCTTGTCCTGCTCTGACTGCTGCAATGCCACCACTGTTTGCCTGTCAAGAGTTCTGATACACTGCTCAGAACTGAGAGTTAAGCAGCCCGCTGTCCAGGAATATAACTTAAGGATTCACAACATGAGTCTTTCTAAGAGAATCTTCTCATGGTCAGCTTTTGCATCCTCCAATGCAGGCAGTGCAAACAAATGCCAAAATAACAGGGCTGCTAGACCCAGAGTACGCCAGAGAGAGGGCATTTTACAGTCACATCTCCAAAGTGCCAGAATCAGTTCGACATGCAGCAGTCCTTGTGCTTCTTACTCTCTGTTCCCAGGCTCCCTTTGCTGGCTCTAGAACTCCCAGGAGTCCATCCATCGGAGTCCTGCCATGGGACTGCTGGGGTCGGAGGCCATCGGTCCTATCATCCCGTAGGACAGAGGATGAAAGAGGTAGAAGCTGTGGAAAGAACCCAGAATCAGAGACCACACAGTTTTCTGTCTCAAGAACAATGCAGCGTGTTAGTCCATACAGATATCCTATGGGACCTTTGTTTTTTGGATGCACTGGTGACATTCTAATCTCTGCTGAGCACAATATACACATAATACACAGTTCCTTTACAGGTATCATTCTTTTGTAGAAAACAATAGCTTTGAAGAACAGCAACTGAGAAAGCTTGCAGCAATGAAGAATTTGCCTGTGTTTGAGGGATCTGGCACCATCTGGCATGGGGACTAGAATCAGAAATCACTGAACTCCAAGTTGAGCAGAGAATGGAGCATTCATAGTGAGTGGTAGAATGAAAGAAAGATTCCCTGCAATGGAAAGATGTTTTAAAACATGTTGCTGGGACACAGATGCTGAATCTAATCAAATTTGAGAGTTTAGATTTGGGCTTGATGTTCAGCAGAGATGAGAGGCAGAGACAAATGCTAAGGGTAGTTACCAGGCACAAAGGTTCCACTGAGACTGTAGTTGTTACACATTCAGGAGAAGTTGAGCTTTCAGTGCTCACCTGTACACGATGAGTAGAACCAGCGCCAGGATCCCTCCTCCATATACTCTTCTAGCTGCAGTGCTGGGGGACAAGAACCTAGCAAAGAACTTCAGTAGTGTGTCCCAGGTGATTCCTAGAAGGATGAGGCAGAAATCAGGAGCAATGCAGGAACCAAACAAGAGTTGCTACATTCAGTCAGACTGGGCTGACCAAGCTCTATTAACACCAAAAAACCTTGTCAGTTTTTAAATCTATTTACCTTGCTAGAATTATACAGATTGTTTTCTATCAGCAGAGTTATTTTTTCTTTCTTTCCCACTTGAATAAATGCAAGAGATCTGGACCCCAGCCTGTCAACTAAGGTGGCACAAAAATCACAATAAAAACTACCAAGATTGAATTACAAATGGACATGACACAAATGTAAGGACAGCAAAAAAAAAAAAGGGAAGTAACATATAAAAGCACAAAGTAACAATGCTACAGCAGAGGATAGGAATCACATCTCAATTCAAATACCCTAACCACTAGACATGACTGCCTCTTCAGTGTGGCAATGAAAAAGAGACAGTTAGGCACTGCAAGCTGCTTTGTGAAAAACATTTTCATTTATTCAGTGCTTTCAAGCACTTTACACAAGCAGAAAAAAATATGAGAATATACTGTTTAGTCTGAAAAATCTCCATTTAACAGAATTTCACCTGTTTCCCTGCCTCATCTTCTCTCAGTCTTCTGTATTTACCTGTCAACATGCTGGAAAAAAGCATGGCAGGAAAGTAGTGGTGAAAGTAGAGAACTCGGCCCATCATAAAGAAGGGGAGGTAATGAAGGAGCCAGCCCAGAGCAATCTGTCCTCCACCATGAAGCACAACTCGGTATAGTTCTGGAACACAAACAAACAGGCTTCAGCAGGAAAAAAGAAAAAAAAACCAACAACAAAAAAACAGATCCTGTTTACAAGCCTTGTCACAGTAAGTAGCATGTGAATCACAGCAAAATAAACAGGAATGATCTTTGGAGTAAGTCATGCATTGGTCTGAAATTGGTCCAAGCCTCTGCACTATCCTAGCTACATTCTTTATACATATACACAAACACTTTCCAGGAGAAAAATGAGCATTAGGTATTATATAACTGCATCTATGTTTATTATTGCATTTTATTATTATATAGCATTTTGTATGTTATTACATTTTACATAAGAATTATGTCTTAATATATCTTTTTTGATAAGTCTCAGTGGATTGGCAGGAGGTTGCCCTAGAGGCTCTATGTTAAGACCAAATTTGCAGTTTCTCAGGATGCACATTAGACTAATTAGGTCATTCCAGTTTCCGATGTTTTATGTTCTCTGCAATGAGACTACAAGCCATCTAGATGATCACTTTGCCAGCCTTTCCTGGAAAGAAATGCTGCTTAGCTTTCACAGCATGGGGAAAGGACTGAGAGTTCTGATGTCTGCATGCAGATTAGCTAATCACTTATTGTTTGACTTAATAGTGTCACATCACGTTTGATATTTCTCTTCCAACACAGATCTACAAAAGTAAGTAGCCATCGATGTAAACTGCAATGTATGACTTCTTAGGATTTGCAAAAAGCTGTATTACCCGGGCTGGGGTCAGTAGCTCTGTTAGAAAAAACATCAGATTTTATCACCTTCTCATACTGGTATGTCCAGATCAAAAACTGCTCCACAAACATGCAGCTGGTCATTTCTGAGCAGCAGTAATGCCATGGTTTTGGCTGGGACAGAGTTAATTTTCTTTATAGAGGCTTTTACAATGCTGCGTTTTGTATTTTTGATGAAAATAGTGGTGGTAACACACTGATTGTGCTGAGCAGTGCTTAGACTCAAGGACTTTTCTGCTTCTCGTGCTGCCCTGCCAGTGGGGAGGCTGGGGGTGCACAAGGATCTAGGAAGGGACAAAGCCAGAATGACTGACCCAGAAAGGGACATCCCATGCCATATGATGTCATGCTCAGTAACAAAGGCTGGGGGAAAAGAAGGAGGAGAAGGGGACATTCAGAGCGATGGCATTTGTCTTCCCAAGAAACCATTATGTGTGATGAGCCCTGCTGTCCTGAAATTGCCTGCCAATGAGAAGCAGCAAATGAATTCCTTGATTTGCTTCGCTTGCACATGCAGCTTTTGCTTCACCTAATAAGCTGTCTTTATCTCAGCCCATGAATTTGCACAGTTCTACCTTTCTGATGCTCACCCCCAGCACCGTGTTCAACTTCCAGAGGCTTTAATATGATTTATGAGTAAGTTTTTAACACAGAAATCCTACCATCAGCTTTTCTGTGCCAGGAAATGAGGGTGTTATGACAGATTCTATAATGTAGGATGCATAGGAGAACTGACCTCACCTTTGAGTTCAGATGACAGTTGGACACCTCTCTTCAGTGCCACAGCAGTGGAAATTGCTGTCAGAAGATACAACCCAATAGTGAACAGATTTAGCCACCAAACCACCTACGTAGGAAAAGAGAAAGACTTTTAGGACTTAAGGCTGTAAACAGGAATGAACATGTGAAAGGAAATCAAAAGCTACATGCAAGCATAAGAATAAAATGAAAGAGACAGTCCAAAAGAAAGAAGATTAAGAGAAACATTGTCACTGGAAAAAGCATGAGTAAGCTAAAGTTTGCTAAAGACATTATCTTGGAACCTCCTGTTCCAACTTACCGGGTTTCCCAGCAAATAAACCCGATAATCTGTCTCGTTGACACCAGAAAAACGCAGACCCTGAAGAAACAAACCAGAAGTAAGCAAAATGGGTTTGAATCCATGCAGCTTATTCTTAGCTTCTACACTGTCAAAGGTGAGACCACTTCCCTTCAAGGCAGCTTCAATGTGATTAAGAGGTCCTGTGCTTCCAGAAGCATTTTAAAGTACCTGAAAGCAGAAAGGAAGGGGGACTGATCAACACACCTGGTAGTTGATAGGCCAGTGCCAGGGTTTGGACGTAACTTCATTGTCCTTTGGTTTCAGGCCACTGTTCCCCTACAGATAAGAAAAAAAATGAAATGAGTGGGCAGTTGTGCTGCAAAGTCTGCTCATAAACATCTGAGTTTACAAACATACATGAACACTCTTCCTGAATAAAGACAGTTTTCTGACCACATGCACACATCATCTTCTGGAGATAGTTACAATGAGGACAAAGAATGTTTTAATACTACTGAGCAAGTGAAAACATTCTTTGGGTATGATTAAAGGCAGTATTCTCTCATTTCTCTTCTCCAGGTTTTCTGTCACTAAGGATACACGTTGCATAAGTAAGATGTCTGTTCGGTAAGAGACTACTTCAACAGGCTTCCTTTCACTCTGAAATAAAAACCTCAGAAAAGATTATTTCCATGGAAACTCTTGCAGGTGCTTTGTTACCTGAAACAACGTTATCACTGGTTGCCATGGAAATATTTAACATTACTAATAAGTTGTTTGACTACCTTCTTTAGCAACTTTAGGAACACTTTTACAAACAAACAAATTAATCCTCAGACTCCCATATCAAAGTGGTACGTTCCATTCTTCAGGGCAACAGAGCTGGTAAAAGGGTTAGGAAGGCACCTCCTATGAGAGGCTGAGGGTACTTGTGTTGTCTAGACAGGAGAAAAGGCTCATTGCTCTCTACAATTTCCTGAGGAGAGGAAGTGGAGAGGGAGATGCCAGCCTCTTTCCCCTGGTAACTGACGTCCGGACATGTGGAAACAGCACAAAGCTGTGCTAGAGAAGATTCAGACTGGACATCAGGGAAAATTTCTTTAGTGCGAGTGTGGTTAAACACTGTAACAGACTTCCTAGAGAAGTGATTTGTGTCCCATGCCTGTCAGTCTTAAAGTGGCATTTGGATAATGCCCTCATTAATATGCTTAACTTTTGGTTAGCCCTGAAGCAAGTCAGGCAGCTGGATTAGATGATCTTTGTGAAGGTCCCTTCCAACTGAACTCTTCTATTATTTTCAGATGGAGTTTGAAGCTAGAAGCGGAAGGGCTGTGGCTAAGATCAAAGAACAAACACAGGGAAAGACCACAAGACCAATCTACCCTGAAAATATTAAATCCATCTCTTTTGCATGTATCTTTAGGCATAAAGACGAAGCTGAAAATGCAGCATCTCAATAAGCTTTAAAAAAAAAAATATTCCATTTTCAATTCAAACATTTATTGTGTTTTTAAGTGTCTGTTTACCTAATTTTCCTGAGTGTGACCATAGTAGTATCCTCCTGCCCCACAAATACTAATTTAACTTCAAAACCTTCTGCTACGTTAGGAAAAAATCCTAAGCTCTCCTTTACAGAACAGGATTTCAGCAGCAAAGAGATTACAGAACTAGACTGTAGCTAAATCACCTTAACAGTAGAGCTAGGCATCAAGCCCAAGGCTTCCAAACTTTTGGAAAAATTAGCCTCAAGAGCACCTCTTTTTCTAAGCAAAAAGACAAGTAGGTTGCTGGGGCACACAAATTCTGCCCTAGCTTACAACCATCACCCAGGTATCTCAGAAAATGCTTTTTTTCTTTTTTTCCTTTTTTAAATGAAAGATAAAGGAAGAGAAAATGATCATCTGGAATTAATGGTATCTTACCCGGATCATAACCATGTGGGATTCTAGCAGAATTTCTGCAAAAGAAGGCTTCAAAACATCCAGGCTGATATTGGGCACTACAGAAAGAAAGGAAAGTAGATTAGAAATCTGTATGTTTTACTTTTATTTGCCTGTTGCATAATAAAACTAAACTCTCTCCTCCTGTGAGGAATCTGCTTCTAGCACCTCTTTTAATTCCCTATGCAACTCATTCATATTCTAAATGCAGAGGCTTGAAGTCAAAGTAACCCCCAGTGAATTTCACATCTGATGTACTCCTAGATTTCCTCCTTTATTTCCAGGAGCAAGAGAAATATGTCTCTCTGAAATAAACAGATCTCTATTTCTAGATGAAATTAGAGACATATTGCTCATATGCTGCTGTTTATCTGTAAATGAGCCACGCGTGTGGGAATACAAAATGCAGTACAACAGAAGAGGAAACTCTACCAAGTCAACAAGCCCAGGATTCCTTTCCTGCAATCTGCACGGTTGCTCTGAAAAGGTGAGGAACACCAGGTTTTTGGTAACTCGGAACTCAGCCCAAGTCATCTGCAATTCATGGGAGGAAGACCACATCAAACAATTCAGGCCAAATGAGGCTGTGACACATATCTAACTCCGGGATGAGGCTGCAAGGCCCATCTGTCATTACTGGCACACTGTTCTCTTCCCAGTTTTTGTCATACTTCTACTATTACTTGATGGCACTGCAAAGTCATTATTTAGCATACCCCGTAAGAGAAGGAAGAAAATATACCAGAGCAGGATAGATATTAACTTTGAAAAAAAAATCATTCAAATATATACACCATACTCATATTAAGAGCAATGATTCCCAATTGAACCAATGATGTTAAAAATAACAGCTTGCACTGCAGTACCTTTAAAACTTCATACTTTTGTTATCCAGGACAATCTCAAAATCCTTAAAATGTCCCAACAGTGAAGTCATAGAATCGTAAAATAAACTGAGCTGGAAGGGACTGTCGCATCCAAGTCCTAGCTCCACACAGCACTACCTAAAAATTAAACCACGTGTCTGAGAGCATTTGCCCAAATGCTTCTGGAACTCCAGCAGGCTTGGTGCTGTGACCACTTCCCTAGGAAGCCTGTTCCAGTGCCTGACCACCCTCTCAGTGAAGAGCCTTTTCCTGCTATCCAATGTGAACCTCCCCTTGGCTACGCATCTCTGAACAACTGGCCCAAGTTTAGCAAGTTTGCACCTGAGCTGTGGAAGAACAGACAAATCCAAATCACTGACTGCCAGTTCTTGCTGTCTGATAGCTCATCCTTTCCCTTAACAGGGAGCCAAAACGGACCCTCAAAGAAAAGGAAAATAAATGACTCACACTTGGGGTTGATATGATCTTCAAAGTTCCAGAGGGAGTTGGGAGTGTCCTTCAGGTATGGTGTGCAGGTGACTTCCACTTGTTCCCAACCCCTGAGGAACACCAGAACAGTCAGACACTATCCCACCACGCAGAAACCAAAACAGATTTGAAAGAAAGCCTACATAAAAATTCCACTAAATATATGGGCCACATTTCTAAATTTGGGTGCCTAACGTCAAAACACTTAGCACAAAGAAGCTGCACGTTGACAACTTCAAGTCAACCGTTACAGTCTCTCCAGAAAAAAACGAAATCACCATCATTATTAAGTCAATCCATGCTTATAGAAACAAAGGATCAACTTCAGAGGATCCCACCAACATTTCACTTGCTCTGTCGCCCTATCTCTAGCAAGTCACATTAAATACTTGTGTAGAAAGTGCATCAGACCCTGCAGTAGTCTGACAGATTAATAAGGAATTTTCTATCAACTGCCACTTACCAAGCTTACTTCCGCTAATTAATTAATTACATTAATTAACCATCACTTAACTTTCTGAAGGACAGTGATTATTTCCCTTCAAAGTCTTAAAAAAAAGTCTTTATTTGCAGTTACCTGGGTTTTCTTCCCCCTCAGCTCTTAATGTCATAAATATTTTGCAGCAGTGACTTTCACTCACGGGGTAAGTTTGTGTTAGTACAAAAAAAATATATACCTCCCTTCCTGAATGCTGTTGTCAGAGACAGTGATTTATTTTTTTTAAACCAAACACATTATTTACTCATGAACCCAGCCTCGCTGAAAAAAGATATAAATGCCATTTACATTCCTGACCAGGCAGAGCTATCTGCCTGCACTCACCATGATTCAGCATCCACCGGATTTCTTAGTAGCTTTTTTTTTTTTAAACCATAAAACAGTGAAGGGAAACCTAAGATAGCAGTGACAGAAGCAGCTCTGGAAGCAGAAGCCTGCTGCTTCAGGATCCATGTTAGCATCCCACACAGTGGAGCTGTGCAGATACAGCAGCTTGTTTGGCATTAGTCTGGATGTCTCTGCATGCACCTCGTTTTGTGATAAAGATATATAATCCGTAAACATATTAAATCCCATCCCCTGTTAACATCAGATTGTTACCGTTGCCCTCACACTACAAATGCCTCATGTAAAAATAGCAGGACGGACTTCCAACAACAAAAGAAGTTAATACCAATAACAATAGGTTTGGAGGATTATGGTACGGAATGGCATGAACTGCCCCAGTTTCTAGCAATTTTGGTGAACCTTAAGGCTAAAACAGGCCTTGAAGAACACAGCTGTCATCCCCTCCTGGACTTACTGCATGACAAAATCAATACCTGTGCAAATCTTAGATCTCTTGGCAGGGGATATGATTTTTCAGAGCCACTGCCCAGCAGGCACCTTCACTGGAACACACTGCATAACCCTAGCCCTGATCATCTGGTTGCATTTTAAGTACCTGTTGGTTATTTTTTTATTCTTTTAAATATAAAGAAATGGAGGAAACGTGGTTACTGCTTAGTTTAAATTTAAAAGTACCAATAAGCAAACAAACATTGTAGCTCCTGGCCGTGTGGGATGGGGCAGGGAAGGAATACGAGGTTCTTACCATTTTGGCAGAGTCTTTCCAGAAGAGCCCAGTAAACACCCTGTGGCCACATGGGTTAGCCGGACCTGACTCCGCAGGACTTTGATAAGCTTCCCAGGCTTTCTGCCCACCACTTCAATCCGCCAGAAGTCATTGGAGTCTCCTGTTCCGTTCTATCATGGAAAAACACCATAGGAGAGAAACAAACAAACCTAACCAAAAGACACGTGCAATTGAAGTACTGCAAATACAAACTTCTGAAACTCCAGTGATGACAAAGCTAAACAAAAGAGCCCACACTATCATTGCTCAGACTTCACAGAAGAGATTCCCCATTAAAAACAGAGGATTCTACACATGAGCAACTACCACAGACATTTTTATCTTGCCAGCCTTTTTTTTTCCCCTTCAAATTCATTCTTGACTATGGCTCAGAGTTACATTTCAAAACAGGGGTAACTTGGCTGCTTCACAGAAGGGGTTTAGGCAACAGCCTTTGGAAATTCAGCCCTCAAAGCAGATTTCATTTTCGTGATTCAAACTTCTGTCATCATTCTGTCAACAAAAGCCAGTTGTCTACGTGACAAGGCCAAATACACGAAATAATACTTGTCAGAGCAACTTCAGGGTTGCTCAGTTTGGCATTTATGGAGTTGAAGGCTGCCAAAGCTAGACTGACATTAAAGCTTACGTTATTTTCTTGTCTGTGTTCATATTAAATAGACCTTAAATAAGATAAGCTATTTTATACTAGACCAACTTCTCCTCTAATCCTGTAGATTTACAGCTACATCTACCACCCTGGCAAACAAATTAAGAGCAGAAATAAATCCCCCTGGCACAGTATGAACTCCCCCCCACCCAAACAGCTTTTGCTTCCTCTTGCCATTCACTTACTATTCCATAGCCAGTGACCTGAAAATGCTTCCTTGTCAGGGGAGCCTCGTGCTGGTGACTGTGAAGATTTCTTGAAGTTCTGGAATGAAATTAAAAGTCAAACCTTGTTTGTTTGTTTAAAATGTCTCAATCAATTTGTGATAAGATCTTTTGGTTTAAGGCATTTAGAGACAGCCACCAGCACTTCGACCACCAAATGGCAGAGCAAGATACAGCTCCGACAGCAATAGGGCCACAGAGCAAAAGAGCTGCTTCCCACCATGCAACTCTGAGTTTACGCCACACTGGGCACTTTTAGCAAAGAAGGACACCATGAATAAATCCAGCCCTCAGGCCATAAACCACCACCTCCAAGTGGTAATTTACCACAGCTCGTAAATCAAAAACATTTAGGTGAAACTGCCCTGAGGTCCACACACACACACACACGCTTTTTTCCTTCTTATGAAAGGAGAAAGGTGGGACTGACAGTCCTGCTCTTGCAAGAAGCAAAACAAGATCCTGACCTCTCTACATTATCACTTTTACTTTTGAGGTGAAAGACTCTACCTTTTGGTCAGATTTACTGAGGTGGGGAATCGTGGCCCCCATTACACCAGCCACAGATGGAGCCTCTCACTCCAGCAGGGACTGGCAGATGAGGCAACCAGAAAAGTGGGTCCATATCCTGGTCAGTTCTTACTTATATTATGAACCTCCCTCGCCAACAACACAGCTGCATCTAGCCCTCCCTGCCTTATCTGCACACAAAGCCTCTGCCCACACTTGATGAAATCTGTCTGCAAAGAGAGGAGAGCCACCTGCTGGATCTTTACCCTAACGCTGCGGTTTTACCTCCCATTCTGCAGAATTCCCTTCCAACACATAAGTTAAGCAAGCCCAGTATTGCCAAACCAGGATTTTACCACTTTCATTATCGTATACTTAGCAGTAAAACCCAAAGTTCAATGTATCATTTTTAAGGTCTTCAAATCTTTTTGGAAGACTTACACAATGACTTGTGGATATGCAATACTGAACACAGTAAGACATAATTTTCAGGCTCACAAATATAGAACTTCTGTTAAGAATTAAAAGCCGTGATAGCACAGAGCATTATGGCACTGTGACATTAGATGAGATGAAGATTAAATATCAAGTCACTAGGGCTCCCCTACGTCACCCTCATTTATTCATCACAAAGGCAAAAGCCAACATTTTCATTGAAAATGTCTCAGAGCTGTGATTTATGTCATTTTTGTGCACAAAATGACAGAACATGGGTTTTGAATGGCTTCTTCGCAGGAGTTGCCTTTACTATTGCACCTCACATAGTTGAACAAATCCCTGTGCCACCTAGGCAGGTACTGATAATGAAGCTGTATGGTTCTGTTAAAGGTTTCCCATTTTACAGACACTTCAAAACAGACCAAAGAAGAAAACCTCCACAAAGCCCGCATTGGCAATGCAGATGTACAGACATCTCTGCCGCAAAACCAGCTTGTGCTGGCCTAACATTGTAGTCTTTGGCAAGCCAAATCTCCCTCCAGTTCTACTCAATCATTCAGTCTCTTCACATCCCAGAAATCGTCCTTACTCTTTATGTTCCAGGCGAATAATATCTCCATGCCTCACAAACTCCACAGGGCTGGAGGGGTCTGACAGATCTGCTGGAGGAAGAAAACTAATCACACCAAAGCACTGACAAACAAATCAGGGTCTCAAGGTTTTTTGTGAACATTCATGCCTCAAGCAGACAATACAAGGCAAACTAGTTTGTGTAAGCTTGGTGTAAATCACTACTCTAGTTTAAAGAACAGCCCTGAGGGTTACTCTATAGAGTAACATGACCCAAAGCAGCACATAGTGCCCTTAAATAAAGGGGATGCCTGGCTAGGCTAACTGAACTTCTTAACTAGATATCTACATTTTAATTTCATGGACTATAAAATGACACTTGTAAGACCGTTTATAGTTTTGTAATATATAGGTTACTTGCATTTTTTGTTGTTTAGAGTGTTCCTTGTCAATTTTTAAATATAGGTGCTGTTTTATATATAGGTGCTGCAGGTGTAGAAAGGAAACTACCCTAGACCAAACATGCCTCAGCTACACTAATTGATATTCTAAATCAAGAGAATATCACCTTCAATAATCTATGTTGTCCAAGGAAGCATCTAAGCAAATCACTTGAACACCATGTATCAGAACATACCAAGAACCAACTTCTCCAGTAGTCACAGCCATAATAACAGACTCCACAAAATATTAACTGAGCTCAGATTAATTTCCTCTCTGTTATTGGCAACCCGACCTGACTGAAAAGTTGTCAATGCAACCTTCAGCCAAAAAAAAAGCTTAATTTACTTTTACTGTACATCCTGGAGAAAAAAAATAAAATAAAAAAATGGTAGATACAAATAGGGTTGATGAAGATGGAGTCAGATTCCCTTTGTTCTACCTCCTCCCCTCCTCTTATCTATGAAGGGCACTTTGCCCTGGAGGGAACTCAACATATTTATGTTAACAACTGAAGCAGCAATTATAAAAGGCTCTTTACTGGTATTTGTTACCTGTATCTGAGTCATGTTTCTTTATAATCCACAGGTTATTCAAATCTTTATGTAAGTAGGCAGTGACCTAAAAGCACAGGATAAATTATTTTACCAAACAAGAATAAAGCTGGTGATAGCAAAGATGCATTCGCCAGCAAATCAAAGTCCCAAACAAATGCACTACTAACAGAGAAAACCTGGGAAGATTTCTACAGCATTTCACTCTAGAAAGCCAGTTACTGACCGCTGCTTAACCAAGATCCCACCCTTTACTCAGGGTCCAGCACATCCACCCTGGAGCACTAGAGCACTACACTTAATGGCAGTTCAGATGCATCATGAGTAACTGCTTCCAACCACACAGCTTGACTTTAGAGGTTCCTTCTACAACAACAAGGTATTGAAATCTGGATTTTTTGAATAGCCACTGACCAGTGTGACTAGAAGGAAACAGCTCTGGCTCTACAGACAGACATTGTTGGTAGAGATTTATGACAACAGACTGCTTATAACAACCATAATACTTCTGCTGAAAGATCGGAAGTCGGAAGGATTCAGGGATCAGCTGTTGAAGCAGTATTATTACCCAGCTAATCTTCACCAGCCTGCTCAGCCTCACACAGAGTAACTGCTCTTATTGCTACCAAGAGCCAGGGAGATCATCTGGCCCGAGGGTGCTGCTACGTGAGGTTACCTTCCCAGCAGGACAACTCTGCCCTCTTTGCTCACTCTCCCCTTCCAGCTGCAGAAGCAGCAAGCCCTACTCTCCAGGACCCAATCCCAACCCCACACCTGTGCCTCCTACTCAGATGCAAGCACACAGCCCAGCAGACAGGTGACTGAGGCAGAGCACACAAGAGTATTTTTGTGTGGGAAAAACGGGGAGTTGGAGATAAAATCTCTTACTTTGAGGTCATATCATCAGAGGAGGTGATGGAGGAAGCAAAGAGATCATAATCTCCATATTTTCCTCCCCAAAATCTCCTCAAAGCTCTGCACTCCCTTCCCCTCTCCATACCCCAAAAACTCACCTAGTCCCCTAACTTGTCCCACCTTCTGGGTAGGGATCACAGGATGGCAGGGAAGTCTCTACCTTGTCCCATTTACTCTCAAGGAAACTCTCATCAGCATCCTCCAAATCCTTTCACTGTCAGGAAGCGTGCTCTGCACTTTAATTTGGCCTATCCTTGAGCAAGTTTTGGTATTATATCTCCACATTCAGTAATAAACATCAATGTTGCATGACAGTATTAGAATTTTTAGTTGACAAGAACAGCAGGAAAAGATGATTAATTAAAAAAATGTTTTTGAAAACCTCCTCCTCATAGCAGGGGCTTCATGGAGTTAAGAACAAACACTTGTTTTTCTTTGGAAACTTTCAAGGAGTTCAGAACAATTTTTAGACACTAACAAGCAAACTGCAGAGATTATCTTGGGAAGGCTGCAGAAGCTGCGAAGATTTGTGAAGCTTAACGATGATAAACAAAAATAAGAAATGCACTTAATTTCTCTAAAACTTAATTAGCAATAGTAATATGGTTTCTGATTTATACTTCGATTTACTGGTTTATCACTTAAATATAAGCCCTTAGAGAGCTTAGCTAAGCACTTTTCATTATGGCTAATGAATGCCTTACAAATATACAGATAACCAATTTAATGAACAAAGCTTTACAAATTCCCTGCTGACAGATGAGGAAAGCAAGGCACAAGAGGAAGTAATTCACATTAAGGCCACAGAGCCCATGGCAAGAATGAAAACAACACCCAGCACTCCTACTCTGTTGATTTTAACATACAGCAACAAAACCTATAAGGGAAAGTAATAGATTTGTTTTAAACCTAAGTTTTACTGCCTTCCTTGAGGTAACAACAGCACTTTCATTACAGAACATTATTTTAAAGTCCTCATGGCCACTGTCTACAGAGGGTGGTCTTGCTACTGCAATAAAGTTTTGTTACTGCAAGTCACCTCTTTGGTGCAAGCTGGTGGGCTCTCAAGCATCCTTTTTACTCAAGATTTTAAGTACCCAGCTGTGGCACCGAGAGGATAACAGGTGCTGAGTAAATACATAGCTCCTGTCACAGTGACAAATAATGTTAAGTGCAATGGGAATGAGTAGATGGTTGTAGTCAGAGGCAGGGCACTAACCTGCTGCTGGCGAGCCCCTACGCCCTCTGGGTAGAGGTGCCAGTGGGAGTGAAGGTATCCCCCTGCCATCCGAAGGTTCTTCATCGTGACCACAGATCCATATGCCAAATCTAAACAGGAAGGAACAAGAGAAAAAGCATAAGGCAGCTCTCCTATAAATGTCTCCCACAGCCAGCCTGTGATGCTCTGATTAGGCATATATGTTCCTACTTTGTTTTGATGAAAGCTCGCTTCCTGAGCTGTCCAAACGGCTCATTGCAAGCTTATCTTCCATCACTATCCACTACTCAGTAAAACTGTTACACAATATTTGAACCTTTTAAAATTCTCCCAGCCAGTCATAGCATAAACAGAAGTGCTAGGTTAACTGTATGCAATTCCCATAGAGAAAGGCTTGAGAAACCTTTCCATAAGCATAGACAGTCAAATTAAAACATAATCAATTTTGAAAAGCACGTGACTGGTTTGAAGCACTCCATCCTCCAACCCCTACAGCAACACAAGAGGAAAGGGAGGCAAGCTCAGGCAGCTATCAGCTGGTACTCTGCCTTAATACAACTTTCTTCCTTCACAACCTCCAACACAAGTGGATCACCTGGGAGAATGGACCTGATGCTCTCCCAGTAGCAGCTCTGGAGCAAGGACAAATCTTTTTTGTTGTCTAAAGCAACGCTGAAGGCCAACAAAAGAACAGGGAGCAGCTGCATGCATACAACACCGTCAAATCCCTCAAAATGGTGCCTTTCCCTCAAGAAGTAATATGAAGACACAGCTAGCAACCGTGCACCAAGCACAATCTAATTTTCAGCCTTTTTCTTTTCTGCTGATAAATAAAACCATACTGAGGAACAGCATGGACCTGACCATGACCACAAAGGAATGATCTGCACTGATTCACAGGTGATGTTATTTTTACTTAAACCCCCAAGTATATTGACAATACTCAGAGCCATTTACTCCCTGGGGCACTCACGCTCTGGAACAGAGACGTTATGAAGATTGTTCCCAATCAGCTGGGACTGAAAGGCAGAACTGAAGAAACCGTCCCCGGGACCACTACAAAATAGAGCAAAGAACACGTCAATTTGAAATCTGGCAAAACGAGCATACAAAACTATCATGCACTACCAATTTGTTTTTACAGAAGGAAAATGAAAAAAAAAGGAAAAAAGACAAAACCAGATGGCCTCAGGAGAAGACTGACTGGATTTGCCTTAGATGCACCTCTAATGCTGTGAATCACAACAGATATGTGATACACACACTCTTGCAAGAAATTGCCCAGAGTCAGAAGGACTTGAGAACACAAAGATGTATGCCTTCTGGCACCATTAACCATCTTTGGAGGTGTTCTTCTAACAAATAAATTGACTCACTGTCAGCTCAGATATAACAAAGTCTGTCCCTGTGGCTCCTGAAGTCTCATATCCACTAATAGGTTAGAGGTAAAAATCAGCTGACTTAACTGAAAATATAATAAATTTAATTTTATATTCTCTTTAATGGTGAAATGCTTTATTAATCTCATCTCTTAACATTAGCATGTGGGAAAGCATTACGTATTTTATTGCTGTTGTGCTCCTTCCACATAAAAAGCATTCCTTAGTTGCAGGCATTCAGAGTAGTCTTTGGGCACACCTACTAGACATTTTTAATCACAGTCAAAGCTTTTTTCAGGAATACGATGCCTTTTTTTTTTTTTTTATAGTTACAAAAAGGAATGGAGTTGAGACATTTTCAGGTCCAGGAAAGAAAGGGAAGAAAAAAAAGATACAGAGAGTTTGGTCAGGATCCTTCCTTGGCACATCAAAGCCTCAAGCTCAAATTCTGTTTCCCTGCCAGCTCAGCCAGAGCCTTTCTCTAAGAACAATGCGGGAGTCTGGGAAGGGAATTAAACAAAGACACAGCTTGTGGCTGTGCTTGTGATGCTGAAAATGGAGAAATCCATAATCAATGGTCTTTAAATCAAAGCACAGACAAATGATTTTTCTACTAGAAAAAAAAATAATAAAATACCTTTTATTTAACACTGTAAAATGAACAGCAAACATGGCCGTGTAGAGGGCAAGCGGGAGCAGGATGAGGCAGAGTACACGAGCCAGTAAATGCTTCCCAAACATGACCTGTAATAAACACAACCTGGATCAAACAGTGTAGCTTCAGACAACTCCACTACATACTCTGCAGGACCCTGAGTAGCCGTCTGCCATGCACACATGCGCAGCAGGCTGCAGAATTACCTCAAAGAGGCCTAGAGAAAGGTAAAAGCTTGGGCAGAGTTTGCTGTGCATCTCAAAAATGAGGAACTGTGGTAACCTTGAAATTTCAGGCTCTTGGAAGTAAGATAAAAAAAGACAATGGGACATTTTAATTTCCCCAAATACTGAATATCCCTAACTTTAGGGAAGGAGGCCGGGCAGCTCCCATTGACAAAACTTTGAAAACAAGGACCTTAACCTGTTTACCAAGGACCTGTTTACCAGTGGTACACAACTTGACATAAAATCACAGCAAGGAAATGGCTTTTAGAATAGCAATCCTTAAAGGTAAGCAAAAGGGAAAATGAAAACAGGAGTGCACAAGCTTCTAGACACACCACTCCCAACAAGTGCAGATGTGGATGCAGTGAGGGCTAGATATGCTTCATTCACAGAAACCAGCTCACTTAGCAAAGATAGTATAATACTGCAACTTCTTTTGATGCTCCTCAGACAGCAGTTACAGAAAAGTCAGCAGCAAATCTTCTGAGTGTTTCAGCTGCCTCAACACAAAAGCAGAGCACTTGATTTAAAACACTGGGAGAGGTCGCTTGTACACAGGTGGCCAATATGTGGTTGCACATTCACATCCTCCTGACACTGCAGGTAACAGAGCACATAATATAAAGCACACAATGGGTAATAAATAACTGTGGGAGGAGAAAATAGCTTAAACAGCAAAAATTGTTTGCTAATGTCCACATCTAACTACAAAGCTGATAAGGGCAAACACACGTACTATCTTTCTTTTTCTTCCTATCACACAATCATTAAGCTAATCATTTTCCATCTGTTAATACCAGATCCAAAGATTTCAGAAGTAATGGGGAAAGAGAAATGGTCTAAAATTTTGGGTAGACCTGTGCGGTGCCAGCAGTTGGACTTGATGATCCTTATGGGTCCCTTCCAACTCGGGGATATTCTATGATTCTATGAGTTGAGCATTTTACAAAATAAAGAACCTACTGAAGTCAACAAAAGAGGCAGTTGCTCAGCCCAGGTTCTTGAGCAGAACATTTGATAACCACTGGACACTTGGAAGAATGCCGACTGATGGCACATAACCACATTTCTGTAGCACAGCACCATATGAGCTAACCTCCAGTTCCCCAGTCAAAATGACTGAAATATGCTTTGATCTGTGTGAAAAAGATTTGTACAACTACAGACGTCAATGCAAAGGCCAAAAAGAAAATGCACATGAAGGACAACACCAAGCAAAACAGAAGAGCGGTCCAAGTTAAGCTGAGAATTCTAGCAATCAAATTAGTCCCCAAAACCCTGCATGTAAATAATCATGAAGAGTTTCCTAACAAATGCAGAGAGAAATTATTCAGGCTTTGTGGGTTTGATCCTCGCTTTTTCTTCTCCCTCTCTCTTCACAAGCACTACAACTGCCAAATATTTTGTTATTCAGAAAGCATCTACCTTCTGGAGTAAATTTCTTTACATATTCTAACACTCAGGGGCTTGCTGCCTTTGCTGCCAGCAGCAGAAATGAAATCACTGTGCAGCCGTCTGCTGGCAGAAAGCTTAGACATGATGGATTTGTTCCATTTCAAATGCAATTAACTGACTCTGCTCAAGAAGTGCTTCTCCGGAGCCGGAACATTGCATCTTTGCAGCCCATGTTGATCCACATTAATCAGAGAAAACAGATCACACAGCAGGAATAGAAAAAGTCCCCCAAGTCCCCCACTGTTTATGATAAGGGCAAAAGCAGTAAGTGAAAGAAACAGGATTTTTAAGTTTCAGAAGAGGCTGAGACAAGAGGAGAACTGCACATCTCTTAAAAAGCGTGCTTGAAGAATTACTATTTTTTTCCTGCTGGTTGCCAGATAGCAAATGGGATATCAAGATAGTTCTCCAAATATCAGATTTCACAGCCCACAAACACAAAATGCAATAGATTAGAACAGGGCACCCAAATACACTAGGGATTTCTTAGAGCTTACAGGAACTAAGTGGTGTGAAATCAAGCAGCCTACAGCTCCCTCCATCCTCAGGACGGGCTACAGAGACTGCATGTACAGAGCTTGCCTATGGCTCCTGATGGGCTACAGCATGCTACTGCTGTGCAGCCGAGGCCGCTGCACTCCCATGAAGCCTGAGCTTGCTCTGCTTATGTAAACCAGGCACTGCACGACATGCCTGTCTGCCAGGTAGCACGTACTCCTCAGAAGGTCACATAACAGCACTGGAAATGTTGCTTTGGGCCGTTGTACAGCCATTGCCAATGAGCATTTTCAGCCTAAACTGAAATAAAATCCATCCAACTGGAAAGGCAATAGTTTCTCTCAGGGAAAAAGCCACAACCTTTTTTGTGCTCCTATGAGATACATATCCTGTTGTAGTATGTGTTTCCTAAAAACATGGCAATAATTTTTCCATTGTAACTTTCACCTTTGATCTTCATCATCTACCTCAGGTGCCTGTTTGCTGCAGACAGAGCATCACTGTTTGCTTCCATGGTTGTCAAAAACTAGGAGACTTACAAAAGCAAAAGAAAGTAAAACAAAGAAACCCTTAGCATAAAGAGAAGTTTTTGACACTCACCAGTGACAGGCTGAGGTTCCCCAGCAAGTCCCACAGATCATAGATTGTGTTCAGACCAACCAAGAGGACTACAAAAAGGCCAACAAACTTTACCCCCATTGCTCCAGCAAGGTTCACCCCAGTCAGGCTCAGCCAGAACCACCAGGAGGCAGAAAATGGCCTGCGGGACAGACAGAGCAGGTCAGAGAGTAAATGATGGCTACACGAATGGGAAGCTGTGGTCAGGAAAACACACACCAGATCACTACCCTGTAAAGTTATATTCCATCTTCTTCCCAGGAGCCCATGAGGAATAGGAAGAAATGTTTTTCTTTAATTTTAGAACAATGGAAAGATACACTTCATACACCTTTCACACAAGCCCATCACTTAAGCCTAGGCAGCCCTCTATCTCCCCTTTCAGAGAGGGAACACAGACACAGGTATAAACTGAAATACTGGTTTAAAGAAAATCCCATGTGTGGAAAGTCTGAAGATGAGGACTTTTGCTGCATAAAGATGCAAGCTTACATCACTCAGAAAGCTAAGGATACAGTGGAGGACAGATCAAATAGAGCTACCACTTTCGGTAAAGCAGAAAGGCCACAGTGGAGAACATCTATCCAAAAAAAAAAAAAAACCAACAACAAACAAAAGCTGCAGCAAAAAGCAATAAAATTACAAACTAAACTAAAACTGAACCATAGAGAAAAGATGAGAGAAGATGACAGGAAATTTAAAAGCTTTTCACTGCTCACTCCTGATGCCTTGATAGTTGCATTTTGACTAAAAATCCCTGTGCCCTGCTAAACAACACAATGGAGCTGGCTTTTAATTGACATAAGATGAACTAGTTGGAGCTAAATCCTGTTTTCCAAGACATGAGAGACAAGTTCAGGTCAAGACACACAGAGCTACATCGCAAGCTGATCAAACCCTGCCCTACACCTCAGTGCCTGCACTCCCTGGGGGATGTGTTGTAGATGGCCTTACTTGATGCTGCAGGCTGTGTTTCAGCCATGTGTGCTGCAATCATGCTAAGACTTATATGAGCAGTACTTAAATATTGCATGAAACAAAAAATGCTCGTATCTAACACAATATTCAAAGCTTTTATGCCTTCAAATTCTGGATGCATTATGCAGTAAGTTCTCTGTACAACACAGGCACAAAGAAGCTTTCTGACATATCCAAACACCTATAAACCACCACTCCCCTCTTGCTAGGTCTATAGCAAATACCCCGAGCAATTTAACTGCCTTATTCAGAAACATCCTGGCTGTATTTCCCTTAAATTTTTGGTACCAATTTCCTTAAACCCAACAAATGTCAGTCTTTGCCTCGACTAGCAGGATTTTATAAATGTTCACAGGATTACAGTCACTGTTAAGCTGCGTTTCTCTGTTCTGGAGACAAAGTGACAGTGTCAAAATGGCATATTAATATTCTTGCCATTAAGGAGCAAAGCTTTAAACAGGCTATAAACATCTTTCATTCCTATGTTTCTAACCTACAACGCCCTATACCACATTCTTTCCTGTCAAGGATTTTTAAAAGCTTTAGTATTCATTTTCAAGATTTGCAGTTCCATGAACTATTTCTGCTGAAGTTTCCTTTCCCTGCAAAAACGATCTATTTAAGTTTCCGTCCTGGCCTACTGTAGCCATGATACTTTCTCCCTTGTTTCACAAACCTTTGTTTCAGTTTTATCTCCCCTACCACAAGCCATTTTCACCTCCAAGTTTCCTGAAACAATCTGATCTGAGCCATTCACCCAGATTATCAAGTGTCAGACAGGTTCTAGGACTTTATTCATGTAAAAGTTCAGTACCAATAGCTTAAAAACAAAACAAACAAAAAAAAACACTTTATCTTACCTATCTGCACAGGCGTTACATTTCACCATACTCAGAACAGCTCCCATCAGGAAGAACATCAAAATGGGGTCCAGTAGAATATACTGGGACAAAGTAATACAGCCCGTATCTGTAGAGAGACACAGATGTCAGAAATGGGACTGCCAATTAAAAATCGTCATATAAAACAGAGTAACTTGGCTTTTGGAACCCTCTCTCATTAAGCACATGGAATGCAAGGTAAGTCATGATGATCCAGAAATGAAACCTTCTGAACAATTAACCTGTTCAATTTTGCTGTGGCAGCAACACCTACCAAAAATAAGGATGCAAGCTGTGAGTAAGGCTGCTGGCAGCGACTTGGACAGTTCCAGCACTGTGAGGTAGGCGAAGGGAACCAGGCAGGAGCCAAGGAATGCACAGAACTGCAGGAAAAGATTATGGGAGAAGTTATACCTCTCACCAAGGTGAACACAAACACACACAACCCCTTTCCCTTCCTTCACGCTACATACCCACCAATTACAGGGGGTGCTGCAGTTACTGAATTGACTCAGATCATCAGAAAAAGCTGAATGCTCACAGATACCATGCAGAGAACAGCTGCTTACTCTGCTCTGTCTCTAGAGGTGTCAGTAACAACAGTTAGTCATTCTCTTTCTAGACTGCACCAGGTATCCATAAAAACATATGTCAAGTAGACACATCCATCAGGCTCAACTCATTTTAACAAGATATTAGCATACGAAATCTAAGAACAGAATATATTGTATCTTACATCTTTAGCAGACCAACATCACCTCCTCATCTCAAATGAGAGCGAGAGTAGTTGGAGGACGAAGAACAGATCAACACAAAAGAAAGTAGCATCACAATGAAATTCTCCCTCTTTAGCACTTCTCCCACTTCAGACTCAGGGCAACAGAGATACAAATTGCTGGAGACTTGGAAAGTAAACCAAGAAAACAGACCTTCCTGTTTTCATCCTTCTTTCTATGCACCAGCAACTGGCAACTTTCTGCTTTTGACCTGTGTTATCTGCTGCCAGGTTTATGGCTCTAGGTCTTCCTGGATTACAGCAGAGCCATGGTTTCAGGTAGAATACCACTGAACAGTAATTCCTCCCATCAGCTCATTCAGCTCAGCGTCACTGGAGGTGGCAGCAAATGATCCTGGCTTTCCTGAAATCCCTGGTATCTCAGCCAGCAGGGTCTCCAGCAGAATAGCCAGGCACGACAGGGTGAGGAGAAGCCCAAGCTCAGCAACAATCCCCTTGTAGGACAGGCAATATATCCCTCCCACTCAGGAGTCTAGTCCCTCTAATTAGTAGCAAGAGATTCCCTCGAGAATCACCTCTCTTTTTCACCCGGCCTGTCACAGCTAGACGCCAGGACTTATTCACAGTACAGCCACCAACACTTTTCTAAGGAGCTTAGAGACAAGGCACAAGGCTAAAGAGACCTCTGACCTAATCCACTAAAGCTGCTCTTAAGACGTAATACTCTTACTGAAAAGCACAGGAGAGCTAAAAAGCTTGATACTAGCCTGTAACGCCTTACCCCTCTCATTCCCATGTAGTTGTGCTGTTCGTATCTGTCCCCTGGCTTTTGGAATGGAAATGTGCCATCATATCCACTAAGGTAGCCAGCAAGTCCAATCAGCATCTGCGGAAACAAATAAAAAAGGGAAAAAAATGTTCAGGGAATCACACTGGAGGGAGAATCCAAACCAGCAGTTGGTAAGATTTTAATACAAGCCAAGTCTGAGTCACATGATAACAACTGAACTCAGACACATCTCCAGTTTCTGTGGAGAATCCATAGCTCCATATTGCCCTTGTCTAAAAGCAACATCAGAAGGGCTCAGAAGGACTTTGGCTGACTCTAAGTACAACTGCAGGCTCAGGAGAAGTAACCACGTGTGGGATTTGTCAGAGAGAATTCTGTCTCCACAGATTATCCCCCCACAGATTAAGGGAAGGGAAGGGAAGGGCAGGCTGCTGTGGGCTCCCCCCAGCTCCCGAGCCCAGCGGGGCCGTTTACCTTCCCCAGCGGGGGGTGGACGTCGAAGAAGAAGGTGCGGTTGATGTAGTAGCTCCCCATCTTCCCGAAGTGGGTTTCATCCCAGCTGGAAAAGACAACCACAGAACACAACCCTGAAGACGAAAACACCCAGGAGGGTCCTTTATTCCCCGTACTTTTTAATCTTACAGGGGGTCACCGCCACGCAGCCCACCCGGGAACCCGACGGGGTGCCCGTACCAGACGTGCGGCGGCTCCGGCAGGCGGTGGAAGCGGGAGGCGAAGCTGAGCAGGGTGACGAGAGCCAGCACCGACCGCGACCCCGCCGGCGGCCGAGCCGCGAGTGAGGCGGGACGGGGTGAGGCGGCCCGCGGGGGCGGGGGGGGCCCCGGCGGCCGGCGGGAGCCCCGGGAGCGCAGCGGGCCCGGCCCAGCGCGGCCGCCCCCCGGCGGCGGCATGGCGGGGGCTCGGCGGGGGCCCGGCGGGACGCGGCGGCCGCACGGCAAATGGAGGCGGGGGAGGGGCGCGGGGCACGCCGGGAGTTGTAGTCCTCGGGGCCGCCGCCATGAGCTCGGCCGCAGCCAAGGTAGCGGGGGCTGAGGCCGCGGGGAGCGGCCCCGGCGCGGTGGGAGGCGGGGGGCGGCTGGGGTTTCTCGTCTCTTTCTCTTCTTTTCTGCAGAAATTCTGCACGTGGCTTCAGTTTCCTCGATTCGATTCCCAGGGGTGTGTTATTGTTGCACTGGCAGCTGCTGAGAGCCTGGCAGTCGCTCTGCCTGTCCTATGGCTGTCCTGTGATTTATTCAGGGCAAACGCCTCGAGGCAGCAGCCAGGTACCCAAATGTCTTCCCGACCTCACAGCATGCCAGGGAGCTCTGACACCGGGGCTGCAGCTGCCCCACAGCCCGTGCAGCTGGCTACAATTCAAAGCCTGGCTGTGTTTGCATGTCCTGGGCACAGATCTGGGGGCATGGTCCTCTCCTCATTGGCTTTAGCATAAAGCCTTCCCCCCCCCAGCTGAGGTAACAGGGAAAGGTGAGGGGTGATTTTTATTTCCTGGAGCACACTGCACGCAGTGACCATGGCATCAGAAAAGGTGAGCGCTTGGGTGGGTGAAGGCACCAGGGAGAGCTGCCTCGGTGCTGCAGTCCAGGTGAAGGTGAGCTGCCTGCAATCTTGGCATTCACCCTGAGCAGCAGGAGCTCCTCTCACTTAGGAAGAGGTCTGGCCCTGCCCTCTGTGGCTGGAAGAGCGATTTGATGCCACTCAAGTGCCCAGTGCAGGTGCTTGGCAAAATCACTGGGGAATTTGCTTCGAGAATCTGTGACAGCACAGCAGTCAGCAGCATCTGGTAGGAGCAAAGAGGGAAACGTTGTAGGGGATAATTTTAAGATTGGTTGTGTGTGTTTAGAAACAGATGAAACTAATTAGAGAGCCAGCGTGAAAAGCAGTGGCACAACCTGTACACCCAGAACAGGAACGGTCGCTTCGAGAAAGGCACCCTCCTCTGGCAAAACTTGCTCTGCTGTATCTTAAACTTCCTGAAATGCACTGCCCTCCTTAGAATATTCTTTTATTCCCACCATATAACTACTTTATCTTTCTCTCCTCAGCCGATACTTTATAGCTATTTCCGAAGCTCCTGTTCATGGAGAGTGAGAATTGGTAAGTTCCAGTTTTACTGCAGCATCCTCCCCTTCACTAACTGAATTAATCAGTCACTTATTGAGAGATCAGCAAACATGAACCTGGGACAGTGACATTGCATTTTCTCCACCTTCTCTAGAGTGGGAGGGATCACCACAGCATACCTCGAGCTGGGGGAAAGGGTAGGAGGATTTCCACTTAGCACAGTATCTGAGAATATCTCCTGTAGCCATCTGACATTCAAGAGGCAGTGGGAAGCGGGAGGGGAGTACATGGTTTCTGCAAACTTCTACCCAGATTCCAAACTAGAGGGCAGAAGCAGCAGCAGTTCCTTGCCTGTGGACAAGCCCTGCTTCACGGGCTTTGGAAGGTTTTTTCCTTCCCTTGGTATTTTTTGGAGATTGGTCTGTGCAGTTAGTTAGAATGACTCCTTTTGTAAAGCTAACATGATGCAGATGGCTGTTTCTACCGCATTATTTAGTGGGACCCTACACTCTGTTGTACATCCGTACTGCATCAGACTGTGATCTGCCTTGATCCTGAGAGCTAAGCAGGGCTGAGAATGGACTCTGCTTAGACTGAGACAGCTTGGAAAATGATTTGGCAGGCAAAAACTGGAACCCCTGCCCTGCCTAAGCCCCCCATCAGGAAGGGCTATGTTGCAAAGAGTGACAAAGCTTGTTTTGAATAATGCAGTGTTTTGCCAAGACTGATCTTTAGTGCTTTGGTCCTTCATTTGCACTTGTTTTTTCATAGATCACTATCTTCTCATTGGATTCAGGCTGTCTTTCTTTGAGGGATAGGGTCTTTTCTACTTTAAAAGCCCTCTTTTTCTTCCTAATGGAGATGGTAAAATTTCCCTGAGGAAATGAAACTTGCCTCAGTGTGGCTGTCTGAAGCTGTGTTCTCTGTTCTCCCTAGCACTGGCTCTGAAAGGGATTGCCTATGACCAGGTGCCAGTGAACCTCCTGAAGGATGGGGGGCAGCAGGTAAGGATACAGCTACTATTGGTCCCTCCAGGGGTGCTGAACTTGGGGATCATTAGGAGAATTGGGATCAGCACTAGAAAGTTCACAGGGAAAGTCACTGCATTCCCCACTGCTTCTCTGTAATAGTTGCTTTCAAACAGTATTCCCTGGCATGCAAGACAGAAGAAGATGACTGCAGGAGACCACAGGTTTTCTCCTCTGCCTTAAACATCGGTGACTGAATTTCATAAGGCTGAGGATCTTGATGAGGAAGCTTGATGTGCCAGTATAGGCTGAGATGGAGTTGGAGAGCTAGAATGGTAATAGTAACACTGCTGTGGTACCACCCATCCTGAGCTTGTATTGATGGTTTATAAAGACGTAAGGCAGTCTGGCCATGGATGCAGTGATCCCTGAGCCCCAGCAAGAACTTGCTGTAGGCTAACAGTATAGTGTAATGTACCATGAATATTAGTACTGAGGTAAAGGGAAAAGTCAGGTTAAAACAAGAAAAAAAAAAGCTAACTCGGTTCAAGGGGAAGAAAATAATAATTTCTGGTTGCAGTAATCTCAGGTTCATTTCCACAGCTTTCTGCTGAATTTAAAGCAGTGAATCCAATGCAGCAAGTCCCAGCCTTGAAAATTGATGGCATCACCCTTTCTCAGTCGGTGAGTTAACAGCCACTTTCTTCCTAGTCATTCACCCTAACCTGCTGCCCAGGCTGGAGGGGAAGGCTTTTCTATGCGTCTTCCCCCAGAGCTTTCCTTTGTGCATTACAAAACATGCAGCATTTGTGATAAATAAAAGAATCCCACTCGGGGGTAGAAATAGCATGTAGTCCCTACTAGGAAACTCCTATTTAAACTCAACTTGGCTTTGGTTCAAAATCCCACCTCTTACTGAACAGTTTGTAGTCTGGTTTAGAAGGCTGTGCCAGGGTTTGCAGGAAATTACAGCAGGGACAAATCAGAAGATCCCAACCAAACATCAAAGGGATATGCAGTTGCTTGCATTAGTAACAAACTTCATTCAAAAGCTGTTTTATTCTGTTGGACCAGCCAGAAATTCTCCTTTCCTAGGTGTTCAGGATGCATACTTCTCCTCTGCTCCGCAATAACCTCCCCTTGTCTCTTTGTTCATTACAGCTAGCTATAATTCATTATTTAGAAGACACTCGTCCTAACCCCAGACTCCTGCCCCAAGATCCAAAGAAGAGAGCCCAAGTCAGAATGATCTCGGATCACATTGCCTCTGGCATTCAGCCACTCCAGGTATTGCTTTTTCATATCCATACAAATGAGAAAAACAGGCTGGATTTCCAGGAGTCTGTATGTGTTCAAAGCTCAGTCTGCTGCTGGCCAGCAGAGTGGCAGACCTGAAGACTGTGTGTTAGCAAATGAAATCTGTACTTAGCCTCTGCCTAATCTGTGAATGGCAACAGGATTTCATACAAAGAAAATCCCACAGCACCCCAGGGTTCTTTCCAGAAACGACTGAACCCGTATCTGTGATTCATATGGTTTCACTGCAGGGTCTACAGTGTTGTAGGAAGAAGGAGTGACCCTAAGGGCACAGGCAAAAAGGATACCCTGGCAGCTGCTATTACAGAACAGACCCAGGAGAGAGGGTGAGCAGGGTGCATCGTTCACTGAGGGTGAGGTCAGGGCTCAGCAGGCTGAGCTCAGGCAGGGCACTCAGGTTTGGCACCTCCTCATCCCTCCTCCCTGCCAACTGCAGTCAATCTAACCTGGAGATCGCTTACCTTCACAGAACTTGAGCGTCCTGAAACAAATGGGGGAGAGGAAAACAGAATGGGCTCAGAAGTGCATCGCGTCTGGCTTCCAAGGTACATCCTGTCTGCAAAATGATCCACACTTTGAGTACCCTTCAAAACTCTGTGGTATAGCACACAGGGGCCCTACTTTGTCCTCAACCAGAACAACAGATTGCCTTAGGCTCTTGTGCTGGGTTCTACCCTGCTGGGAGACAAAATGCTCTTCTTACCCAGAATCCCATGTCAAGGACTGCTAGCTCTCCAGGGTCTTGGAGGAAAAATGCTGTCCATAGTGTACTTCCACTGCTATGCATGGAAGAGGGAAAGCCTGGGGCCGTTCTCTACACTGCAGCAGTTGATTCACCCTGAAGCACAAGGGCTGACAGCACTTCTGCTTCTCACCCAGCTGCTCCCAAACTAGTGGCTTTTGCTTTACAGTTCTATCAACCAATATTGGCATGATTTTTTTTCTGTATACAAAAGACATCTGATGGCAAACTCCCACAGAATTCAGCAAGTATTTCTGTACTTCCCAATGAGAAATACAGAGCTTTTTGTTTCCTCAGAACCCTTTCGCCCATACGCTAGAATGACAGGCCTATCTTCACTTCTAGATAGATACAAACTGACTGAATCTTTGTAATTTTTCTCCTTCCCACTCTCGCATATCTCCACATTGTGCTCTTAGTATTTCAGCTGCATTGCCCAAAACAGCTGAAATCACCCTGGGTACTAAAATGCTGAAGGACACTAAAGACTCCCATAACTGTGCTGTTGTAGGATTTCTGTTCTTTCTACTTTCTGGATTCTGCCCCAGATTGCTCCTTTTTCATCCTCAGCTCAGAGCTGAAATGCTCTTGTTCACAATTCCCAGTCTAAAAGGTCTCTGGGGTTCCTTCCAAATGAGTTTTCAATACCTTACTCCAGTGCACCCTCTCTTGACAGCACTGGAACAGGTTCTGCAGCAGACTGCTGGACGCTACTGTGTGGGCGATGAGGTAAGTACCTGAGAAAGTGTTGTGTATCACTGGAGAACTGGAAGCCCCAGCATATTACATAAGCTAGAAAAGGGAATTAGTTGTGGAG